ATGAAGTTAACACAAAAACTACTGCACAAAACTGTAATGAAATGTTCTTGCTTTAAACTACTTTTCTGCTAAATGATACTAAGTGTGGTTTTATTGATGGTGAAAAGCCATTATCTGAAAGTTAGGAAAGAACCTGGACTACCATTAGAGGATTAAATTAATTTTTTACACGCAAGGAGTAGAGATCGTTTATGCCTTTTTTTAATGTTAACTTGTAACTGCTAATCAATTAGCGTAAAAATTTATAATAAATGTCAGTTGTATATCAACATTACATTAATAATGACTTCTGATTTAGCTTAACACTCACAAAAACAAACTAAATTTTAAAACAGGTTTTATAATCTCTAATAAATAAAAGTAATGTAAATAGTTTTGTATTCTTGTTATGCTTAAATCCTACAAAAATCAAATTTCTTGTTAAAAGTTTTATTCTCTTAAAAAAAAGTTCGATTGATGTAAGCAAAATTTGTGTTCTCTGAAACATAAATGATAATTAAGGGTGTAATAAATTTTATTTGTCGTCTGTACATTACCATTTCATTTCTGTATATTTATGGTTATGTTTTCATTTTTATTATTTGATCCTTGTAATTTCATGAACACTCATTAAATTCATGAACATCATGAACTTTCATTAAACATTCTGTATAATTCTATATTTAGTGTTTGTTACAAACGTTATTTTTTAAAGCAATTTATTTTTCTTTAATCCCAGAAATATTTTAAATTAAGTTTAAAAATTACTGTATTTATGTTTAAAAAAATATTTTTTTTGTAACTTTAATGTATGATTATTCTTTATCTATTGGTAATATTTATAATTTTTTTCTGATTTGCAGTGCAGAACAGCACCTTAGGCTATTTTCTGATCCTAGACTTAGTTTCTTTTTGATGCCATTTACCATTTTGGAAGATAACATACCTCCTAACTATGAGGAAGAGATTTTCCTTTTATCTTCAGATACATTGTACAGAATTTTAGTAGAACAAATGAAGACAAAATCTCAGGGTGTGTCCCTTATAATATCATCTCTTGCAGCTCTGTCAAAGCTGGCACCTTTCATAGGGAAAAAAGTAAAAATTGTGTTTGCTAAGTCGTAATTATAACTGAATATTTTTTTTAAAAATTTTAAATTAAGGAAATACGCGAATTAAAAGTATCTAGATTTTTTTCTTCAAAATTATTGTTAAAATATAATATCTCCTTATTATATGTGGAATTGCGTGGCGCATCAACTACAGAAATGCTACAGATAATTTATAAAATGTCTTTCCTATTGTTTTGTGTGTAATAACTCTTTTTTTTAATTGAATTTTTTATTTTTAAGAAATTAATTTTTGTTTTCTGGAAAATGAAAGACTAATTGATAAATATCCCATAGAAATTTCATGGGATGAAATCTAACTCAAATAAAATATCATGAAACAAAATCAGACACAGCCAAATGATCATAGGATGGAACCAACTGTGGAAAAACAAATAGTTGCATAGAATTTCATGCAGGCAAAATATTATAAGATAAAATCTCTTTCAAACAAAATATTACAAAATGGAATCTCATGCCAACAAAATATTATAAGACTATAATCAGATGGCGGCAAATTATTGTTTAAAGAAACCTCATGTGATATAAAAAAAATTTTAACCAGTGTTACGGTACTAAAAAAGGTTTTATCTAAATACACTCATTGAAATTAACATTAAAATAGAAATTTATAGTTAAATTAGATTAACTGTAACAAACATTTATTGTGTACAAAATGTCCGACTTCAGTTTATTTCTCTGAAAATGTTTATAGATCCTGATCAAATTTATTAATAGGCAAAAATGTCCATAATTCAATAATTTGTAACATGTAACGATAAGCTTATACATACTTGTGTAGTTTCAATTGACGCTTCTTATAAATTAGACAATGACAACTCAATATTAATTTAAAACATCTAAAAAATTTTAAGTCTGTACTACATTACACTTCATCTTTACTAAATGTACTTCCATATAAACATGGTGTACAATTTCTCCTTAAACAGCTGTTATACTCTCTTATATTCTTTTTCTTTTCCACGTTCTTCTTTAAAACATTCTTTTTCCAAAAGAATCAAATTTTATTTAAATCTTATTAGCACTCTAATTTTCCAAAAACTCAACTTACCTACAGTTAGCTCATTAATTATAATTGTCTGAACTAGTTGTTAAAAATGTTTGACCTAGTACTATATGTACCAAAAATATTGAAAGATAACAGTTTTTCTCAATTATATGCATTATTTTCCTTGATTTATGAAATATATATTGTTTAATATTTTAATTTATGGCATTAAGTGGATTGTTTAATTAAGATTTTTAGATGATACAACAGATTCATTTCCGTGTAAAAACTTATAATTATTATGTGAGGGCTACATAAAAACAAAATTGACTAAATAAAAGTCCAATACAAATTTATTGGTCAGTTGGAATTTTCAATAAAATAGCGATATGATTAAAAATGTATCATATCAAAAATGTTAAAAAAGAAAAAAAAGTTTTTTAATTGTTTAATAAACTTATGTTAAAAAACACTTATATGGGTGGGGGGCAATGGAAAAATTTTTGTTTTGTTAAAAATTCCTTTTTTAACTCACCGCCTCTTGCAAAGTGGGTGGTGAGTTAAAAAAGGTTAGGTACCTATGATCTACAGCAATGTCTGTTTTACTTATATTTAAAATAATCATTTTTTACGTAATAAGAATCCAAGCATATCATTCTATGATAAATTCAATTTATTATCTTTAATTTAATATTGAAAAAGTTTTATAATGAGATATGTGGTATAAAATATTTTATTATTATGAATTTTATTTATTTCCAGCTAATTGAATCTATCATAATCTCAGTGGGAGTAATTTTTCTGCAAGACCCAGAGGATGAGAAAAGACACTATTTGTCTTGTTTATGTTTGGAAGATAGGAAAATTTGTTTGGCTTTTTTAAAATTATTTTCATCTCTCCTCTCAAAAGAAGGTAAATTTTGAAGAAAAAATTTTTCTGTTCATTATCTCTATTGTTATTTTTGATTCATTGCTTTTTATTAAAAAATACAAACATTTTTTTAATTTTAAAGAAGGTTTTAAAAAAAATTAATTATCTTTTTCATTATTTATAAAAGATTTAGCTGTATATAAACTTAATTATTATTTTAACAGATTTACAAGCTGTTTAGTTTTAAAAAAAATTGTAAGATTTATTTATATTTAAAATATTAATGGAGTGCTGAGCGTATAAAATTATTCTTTAGACATGTATTCAAACATCAGTTATCAAAAATAAAAATATAATTGTCATTACAATAATTTGGTCTCATGCAATCATAGCTATTAACTACTATAATTTGCTGGGCTACTAGTAACTGATAGTCTACTGGTTTTATTAAAAAAATTTCTTGCTTTTGCATGTTTCAAAAAAAATTTTTAAATTGTAAAAAAAAACATTAAGATAGATTTATTTACTTTGTTCATTCATTGTTTGCTTAAATGTTTAAATAAGTATTACTGCTAAAAAATATTGTCAGTTCAATTTAAAATAATCAGCTAAAATTATTTCTATATCTATTATTGAAATAACTTTCTGTTATCAACTTAGACCCTACTTTCAATAATTTCAAAGTAAATGATAAAAAAATAATTTTCTTAGATTCAAAAATATCACATATATTATTTTTTTACGCTGACTTGATTGCTTTTATAGTTTTTATTCTTGTGCATCATTTTTATTAGTTAATTAGCAGTTGGTAGTTTCCTTTTTTCTCCCTTGCTTGCATTTATATTATGATGATGTATTTTTTTACTTTTGTAGCTTACAAATGTATGACTGATCAAAGTAAGATGTTGTTGTTTAAATATTTCATCAAGATTCTGCAAAATCCTACAACTGATTGCAATGTAAGCATCACTTACTGTGGAATTTATTTAACATGCATAATAAAATTGCAGTGATTCAATGTTAAAGCAATTATACAAAACTTTCGAAATAATTAAATAAATTATGCAGTTTTTATTTTTAAAAGAATTTAATATTTGTAATTTTTTTCCTTAAAATATTTGTCTTTCTTATAAAAATATTTTAATACATATGAAACAAAGTGGTGCTTAAATTAACAAGTTACACTGAAATAAGAAGCCTATTTATTTCTATGCAAAATTTATACTTAAAAAGTATAAATTTATAACCCGCAATTTATGCTTTCTTAAAGTGTGTGTTGCAGCACACTGAGGTATTGTAGAGTTAGACAAGAGATGTCGAAAGGCCGAATATACCGAATATTTGTTCATGTGCACCATGTTCATCAATTATGTATTTCTATCAGGCTTCTTATACCTCTTTACTACTTCATACCTATAGAAAGCTGAATTTTCAGCAATTGCACTTGTATTGCTCCTTAAAAATAAATGTGTGTAGCTTAATTGTCATTTAAAAAGTTAAGCAATGAGCATCAAACTTACCCAGTGCACTAAGAAAATTTACAATACCCTCGAATGCAGATGATAATTTATTTTTATTTATATTTGCCCTTATATTTACTTGAACCAAAATGGTTCAGTGGTTAAGGCACTGAGCTTTCATTGTGAATTACTGGGGCTGGAGCCCTTGTGGCGGCTTTAAGCCTCCCCCCCCCCTTAGCTTCTGATGGATGGGTGCAGTGCTGACCACAATTTTGTGGCCATCATGCTGTTGGTCATAAAATTGTGGGGCCTTCACCTTCATGACGCCCTGACCCACAAAAAGCTGCTGTGAGAATGTGTTACTTTAGAATAAATACTTATTAACATTCTATTAATTAAAATTGAAGTAGATCAGTGGATTTTAAATTAAGGAATAAAGTGCAAAATTTGACTATGTTTTTATCATCACAGCTTATTTTCATAACTTCTGTTTCATCATCTTACACATATAACATACATAATACACTATTTGGAAGAAAGTGACGGGACACGGCATAATCCCATATTTATTAAAATTAATAGGAGGTAGGGTCTCCTTTGGTTGCGATCACAGCTGCAACCCTTCTGGGTATGCTTTCCACTAAATTAGCCATAGTGGCAAGAGGAATTTCCTTCCAAATGTTTAACAGGAAGTTCCATAGTTCATGCCTGCTTTTGGGGAGTGGGGGGGGCAGACCCTCAACCGACAGACCAATTCGTCCCAGAGATGTTCAATTGGGTTAAGAACAAGGCTCTGCGCTGGCCACTCCATGCGTTTAACGTTGTTGTTCAGATACCAATCAAGAGTCCTTGCAACATGGGATCTTGCGTTGTCATCTTAATACAAGCAATCATCCATACCGTATGTTCCCCTCAAGTTAGGAAGGACATGATTGTCGAGAATATCACATTATCCATCGGCGTTCATGATCGGCATCAATCCTCCTCCACCAAACTTTACAGTTGTCCTGTCACTTTCTTCCAGATAGTGTATGTATGTAATAAGTATTATACTGCAAATAAATGTTAATGACTGGCGTGTTGCAGGACAATTTTAAATCTTGTAAGAGTGCCACATATTGATACAAATTAAGAAACTCCTAATCTATTGTATATTTCTAAGCTTTTTTTTTAATTAAAAAATCTGTTAATTCTGTTTTATTTTAGGATAGATATAAAAATAAAATTTGAAAAAATCCTAAAAGCATTTTATTGCAATTGAAAGTGATTGTTTTCCAAATTTGTAAGATAATAATGCATAATAATTTAATAGTTTTGTAGTTTATTATAAATAGTTTACTGATAAATTTCTAGTTTAAAATAAATTTAGATTAATTTATTTAATCTTTTGCTTTAAAAAAAATTACTTTGTCGGAGCTATATATTTTATTTCTTATTTATTTCTTAATACAGTTTTATTGAAACCACTTTCTTTTTTCTTCATAAGCTTATATTTTGCAGACCCTGCTTAAATATTATACCTTCTGAGAAATCTTCAAAGAATTATGCACACTTTTTTTAATTATTTTAAAGAAATATAGTATGCTTTAACTTCTAAATTTACTTAATATTTCTGTATTATTACTGTTGTATCCCTATTTTAAACTAAAGTATTTTAATTTTGAATCAATTTTAATCATATTCCTACCAGTGACCAGATTATATTAAGTCATCAAAAGATCTTATTTAAAATTCAAAATGCTAATTCTTATTTTGATAATTGCAAAATTGTGTAAAGACAGTTGCTAATACACTAAACTAGACTCATAATCTTGTGTTTACACTTAGACTGTTCTAACAAAAATGTTTGATATTGAGAGTGCATTTTTTTTCACTATCAATAATTACTGATATCTTAAATATAGCTTATTTTCCTTAAAAACTTAATGTGTCCCATCTCAGAAGTCATGTGACCTAATTTTCGGTGGCCTCCCTTTGATTGAAAAGTGTGCTTTAGGATAGCTAAAATCTGTTTTATGCTTAGATTTTTATTACGGGTGTTATGAAGGTCTGACTTTTTTTCCGTGCTATCATGACCTGAAACATTTATGGGTACAGCTTTACCTGATTTTAATAATATTAATTTATCTCTTTTTTTTTTTCCCCCAGATAGTCTCGGAAGCTTTACTCCTCCTGAAATCTTATATTGGTTTGAATGCCGAGCATAAGTTTGAGGTTAACTCTGTACTAAAGGGTGAAATTGTAGCACTTATTTGTAGAAAACTCTATGGAAATAAGGAACCTATTGTTGACAGTGCCTTACACATTGCTGGAGAAATAATGAATGGTGAAGGTGATAAAAAAAATTTATTAATAATTATTACTTCATTATTTATTATTACTTCAAATTTTTATTTGTCTCTGCTATTTGCTAATATTTTTGGGGGGGGATTTAATTATGTTAATCATGTATGAAATTAATCAATATGACATTTGATTATAATTTTTTACCATTGTATAATATTATTTGCTGTTGTTAATTTTGTTATTTATGATTTTGAGAAGAGTATGAGAAATTTAAATGAATACAATTATGACCAGTTTAATACAAGCATTCTTTTGGATTTTTATTTATCTTATTTGTTGCTTTTCTCTAAATTTAAATATCTGAATAACTTTTTTTAATATTTAAGCTGTACTATCCATAAACTAATAAGTCGCTGGTTTCTATAAATAAATAACAATTTATTATTATGAAACATTTACAAAAATCCAAAATGAAACATTGAACACACGAGAGGTTCAAATGCTTCAAAAGACAAACTACTACTACATTTTACAATTTATTTGTAACTAGAGGGCGTTGATCGCTACAACAGAAGAAGCTCAAACGTAAGCCTTTATTTTTTGTGATATTTCTGAAAATGGATTGCAGTGGTTTCTGAGCTCGATGCCTTAATTATGATATGTTAAAAATCTGAAAGCATATAGCTTTTATTAAAATTTAATAATCCACGCAGTGTTATTTTTGATTGTTTTTACATTTTTATTTAAGCCATCTGTGCTACAATTTCTATTTGCATTACTTTTTATGTGTGTAAAATTTTAAATGGAAACTTCTACTATAGATCACCAGTTATGGATGGAATTAGTCATGCAGAATTCTCTGCACACAATTGTATGGGACATAGCCATTGAAAGTAATCATGATGGCATCATAAAAGCATCAGCTTTATCTGTAATCACTGTAGCTTGCTCCCGGCCATACTATTTTGATAGCATCTACTCTGCGAAAGGTGTTTCAAAAGTAAGTATTTATTTTATGTATGAGGATGTGGATCCAAAAAGAAAAAGTCACAAGAGTAATAAAGAGTATTTATTAACAATACACATAAAATATTAAATGGAATTAAAAAGCATACTTACAGATCACTTTTCTAGATAATCACCAAAGCTATTTATAGAAACGCAGGATCAACTTGTTAGGTCCATTTTGGAAGAAAGCATATCCTTGCCTATTGATTCTCGTTTGCTTCTGTTTCCACAGCATTGTCTGAATTGAAACTTCAGACATTAAACAGTCTCTAAAACAGTTATTCCTTGTTCCAAATAAGTCTTTCTTCAGTTTCAGAAACAGAAAATATGGACAAGGCTACAAATCTTTCCTGTAGAGAGATGGCTCCACACTTGAAGTTTTGAAGCATTGCTTGAATTTTGGGCCTGGCATTATCCTGTAAGAGGATGATATTATGACATCCTTTTGCAGGATAATACACTATATGATGTACTATACTATGTCAGCCATGGCATTAGATTTCTAGCAACTGTTTGCTCCCAAAAATTTATTACTACTGGTACTTGCATGTGTGACTACATTTTCAGACCACCCAGGCTTTACTATCCAATCTCAAGACCTCAGGCCAACAAATAATTTTCTCAGGGTTCTATCTTAAAGACTCTATGAATCAGTGGATCCGGGCACACTTAATATACAGTTCCAAAACTCTTACCCTTAGATAAATGATTTTGTGGGTGTGTAGTCTATCATTAATTGCTTTTTCAATTTTTTTTGACAAACTTTTTTAAGAATGTTTGATACATTAAAAAGGTGAATTTTCTTTTGGAAGTGATATCTTAATTTGTGCTAGTAAGTTTCAATTGTTTCTTTTTTGAGCATCAAGTTTCTCAGTTTTTCTGTTTTAAGAAAAAGATGTCGGAGCTCTTTTCAAGTTTGTTTCATGATATTCTATAAACTCATAATTGTGCTTGACAGTACAAAAACATGTAGGATATTTTCATTCTTTTAATGGAATTGATACAAAATGGTGTAAATTTTATTTATTTTGTAACTTATCTGTTCAGCCCCTGAAAAGAACTACATTTGAAAAAAAAATCCAAGTGTAAAAGGAATATTTATCCAATTCTTTCTATAATTTATTACTATGCCACGTGAATAATTAAACTATGACTAACACTAAATTCTTATAATTTTAGGAATACATTTTAAATAGCAGAATTACTGCATGCAAAAATTATTATAAAGTATGCAGTAGCAATAAATTAGTGCACCAATAATAATAATGGAGGTGCACATGTGAAAATACTGTAAAAATTTATGCAATTTTTAAAAATGAGTAATTAGCCGCCACTGTATTAATCTCACTCATTTGTAAAATCGTTCATTTTAATTTGGTTTTCATATATAGTTTAGAATTGATTTAGATGCAGTTAATCAGACCTACTTAGCATCTCAATTGAAACAGCTCTCCGCAAGACAGCATACCTATCAGCGAATATATACCAAAGATGAAAACACGTGACCTTCCCTTTAAGGAGAAGGCAATGGAATGAATGCCAACCTTGTAAACCAGTCTTTTAAAAGCCACGTGTTGCTACAAAACAGTCCGCAAAAGTTAACCTGAAAATGCACACAAATGTAGTTCATTCAAAGTTTGGTGTTGGAGAGAATATTTTGTTGAGAGTTGAAAATGCATTTAAACGCATTTTCAACTCTCAACAAACCTTTTTTTATCATGTTTTTTAACAGATGTAGTATTAAACATTCCTTACAACCATGCAACCTATGTGAGAATATTTAGCGATGCATCTAAAATCAAACTTAATTCTGTTCTTTCGTATCAAAAGAAATTCTGGAGAATTAGTTCACTGAGAAACTCTTTAACTGGGTTTGTTGACTTCTAAATTTTTTTTGGTTACAGAAAATTTAAGATTTTTTAAAAATGCTGAAACAGTTAGTCAGTCTTTTTTAGATCAGTAGATTAATTTATTATTTTGTAGTTTTATGGGTAAAAAAAGGTATACTTTTAATTTAAAAAATTTATAAACTTATTACTTTTTTTTAAATCCTGGCAGTGTTTTTCTAATTGCACTATGCAGTGGTCACAAAAGTATCAAGCTTTATGAATTTCTGAGGTCAGCCGGTCTGGTTGACATTAATCTCCTTAAATATTCAATTATGATCAGAATTTCTGATAATCGAAATCTTCAGTAACATGAACTGATAATAATTCCAATTAGTTAAGATTAGCAAGAATCAAAGATTTTCTTCCTCCTCCCTTGTCACAAGCTAACACATTTCATTAATTTTCTTCGCCCTCTACCAAGTATTACATCATTTGTGGATGGCCCCTTTCATAAAAATATTGCTTTCTTTGTTTTATAAACAAAATATAAAAATTGTTTTATATTAAACCTTTTTATTTTTAATATCTTTCATAATAATTTGTTAGTTTTTTAGAATTTATTATTCTTCTTCTTCCTTATCCCCAAAATTAGCAGGGCTAAACAATGTCCATGAAATTCATCACACGGAGGAAGTCGGCCACCATAAGTGTGTTATTAAGAGTGTCCCTTTTGTCCAGACCAAGACAGTCCAGGATATGTTGGGGGGAAGCCAGCATGTTGTGGCACCTGGGGCAGTTAGGGTAGATTTTAATACCACCCTCAAAAGAAAGGGACTTAAGGTGGCCGCTGATAAGCCTGGTATGTGCAGTCTGGTCCTTGCGGTTGCACCGAACGTTGAGTGCACCTCCTGGACTGGTGCTCTGGTACCAGTGATGTTTGGGGGGTACGAGCCAGGAAGCGAGGTCTTCTTTTTTCTTTTTTGATGCCAGCTCCATGAAGGTGAGGGAATTTTGACTTATCAGATTTTCTTTCGTCCCCTCCTTAGCCAGAGTGTCGGCGATGTCATTGCCCAGAACCCCAACGTGAGAAGGGATCCATTGGAGGTGGACTTCACGCAATCGTGAGAGGATTTTAATTTTTTGTAGGATTGAAGCACCTGTTTTGTCTCTCACCTTCCTCCAATGCGTTAAGTATTGTATGGAGCTGAGGCTGTCAGAGAGGATCCAGATGTTATTTTGATCCTGTAGTGTTAGAAGAGAATCCAGGGCAGTATCAATAGCAATGAGTTCACTTCTAAACACCGAGCAGAAATCAGGATTCCTTTAGAATTTATTATGGAAAGTTTATGGCATAAAAAATGAAAAGAAACTTTTTTTAAATTGTTTTGAGCATTTATTTTCGTTTTTAATTCATACGTTTTCGCAAATGTGAACCCTTTGCTTCATGGTAGTATATTTTTAAGTATATGTCCAATTATTATTTCAGGTTGACCTGATGAATATCCTGTGTAATTATGTTCTGGATGATGATTTCTTTATCCAGAGGGAAGCCATTTTATGTGCAAGCCGATGGATGCAATTGAATCATATCATTCTGCCTGCATCCTGTAAAGATAACTTGTACTTAATTTTTTCATCTGCCATCAGAAGTTTAGATTTAGACCTAAAACTTGCTGCTTTAAAAGAATGGCAGTGTTTCATAGAGAATGAAACATTTTTCCCTCCTATATCTGAAACTGACATTAACGAGTGCCTGACAGAATACTGCTCCTCCGGGTTCGGATCATCATTGTTATATGCCATCGAAGATTACGATGAAGCCGTGAAGTACGAAGCAGCTAGAATGATGCTTAAATTGAGACAGAAGCTGGTTGATAAAGGCATCACCAAAGATTTTATATCAGAAGATGCAAAAATGTCTGAAAATATTCTCATTCCAGATATTGCCGATTCTTTTTCAGCTATATCTGTTACAAAGGAAGAGCGTGATGAAGGTATAGACAATGTCATGGCATTGTCAACCACTGAACAAATTTTGAATATCTGCAAAACAGCAGATTTTCAGTTGCACAATAATTACACTTTCACTGTTCCTGATTTAGGGTTAGAAACCCTTTCATGTTCAGTGAAAGCATTCTGGAGTTCCTTGTGGTCTGGTAAATTAGATGTTATACTTGAACCAGATGAAAAACCGACTTCCGTTTTTTCAGAATACTCATTTTCGTTGTTGGAGGACATCATTTCAGCTGAAAAAACAGAACTTATTATTTCTGTCAATGATTCTGACTGTTATTAATTGAAGATTCATCTTCAAAAGTAGATAAAATTCCTGCTACTTTGGAAGACTAAAGACTTTTTAATATTTTAATAAAGTAATAAAAGTTTTCTATTAGTGAGCTAATCAAGTAAAACTGAAGAGATTTTTATAAAATTAGTTACAATTTGTTTAAAATTAATACACAAGTATAATATATAAGAGACACCCGGTGGCTGAGCGGTAGCGCTTCGGTCTGTCGTGCCACAGGTCCCTGGTTCGAGCCTGGAGCCAGGCAATGTTGACTCAGCCTTTCATCCCTTCAGTGGGTCGATAAATTAGTACCAAGCATGCTTGGGAACTAAACACTGGGGGTTCCGCGTTTGGCTGACCTCCTGACCGGAACATCTGCTCCTGCACACCAGAGCCGAAGGTCAAGAAAACTGAGATGGGCACCGTAGGCCTTGGCCCTCTGTGGGCTGTCGCGCCACTGAGTTTAGTTTATAATATATAGGGTGCCAACTAAGTGTAGAACCACTCTTTTTAACTTTAAACGGCTTCAGTTGTAATTAAAGTGGTGTTTATGTGTAATAAAATGGCTGTGTTGAACTTGCTAAGACCTCTACAGCAGTGTTATCCACACAAAAAACTGTTTGAGAATAATTTAACTCCATACTTCAAAACCAAGATTAGATTTGTGTATTGAACATATTTAATTATGCATTCTAAAACTATTGATTGAATATTTAACCAAAAAACACTTTCACATTATTTCCAACTTTTTTATATTATAGGTTTCTAAGGTTTTAAAAATATATTAGTAAATAAAATATATTGAATTAAAGTTTTTTTTTTGCTATTTAACAGTTGGTTCAAAATTGACACTTTCATTGATGGCATGAAAAAAAAAGTCCTTCCTAGAGATTTACTAGGTACCCAGAAAATACCATGACCAGGCAAATAAAATTTACTACTTGCTACCAGGTACCCGGTTTTATGTTTGAAAACGGAGAACTTGGACACGCCCTATATTATGAGGTATTCAGTGCCGAAAAGATCGAGTTTATGTTCAACACTACCATACTCAGAAATTATAGTAACTTCAAAATTAGTGATAAATTCATACATTCCATCTGTTTCTAAAAAATCAATTGGAAATAACTGTTAAGACACAACATATTTTAGTTTTGTTCAGAATTCCTTGTAAAATAGGCATCTTTGGGACAAAGAAAATCGTTTGCTAAAAAGAGGTGTAGGGGGAAGAAAATGCTGAAATCTAATTTTGAAAATTATCTTTAATAAAATATATTTAAATTAATACAAAATTAGAAGTAAGGAATTTTATTAATCTTTGAACTTAATAAAATCATAATGAATAAAAATTCAAAGATAACTAGAAAAATATGGTCTATTTGTTAAATTTCTATAGAAGGATCACAGTTAAGATTTTTTTAAACCAGTAATTATTATATTTACAGTGAAATCTCAACTAGGTTGACACTCTTCAGACTGAAAATTTTTTCCGTTTACAGAAAGGGCATACTAATACAGTAGGCTGATGCCATAAATTACTTTAAGAATAATTGCAATAATATAGAAAGAATTTATGATAACTTTTTACATTAATATTTATATAAACTCAATAAAATTATAATACAGTAGGAAACCGATTATCCGGAATGATCGGGACCATCACTATTCCGGATAACTGATTTTTCCGGTTTTCTGAATCGCTACAAAAAGCCGTTTTTTTTAATGTTAAACCCAACTAAAAAAAAAATTTTTTTATGAAATAATCTTGAAAAGAAGAAAAAACGATGAAGTAATTCACTAATGATTATTTCCAAAATGATGGTAAGGTGAACATCTTTCAAAAAAGAAAGAAAAATCCTAAAATCTTATAAGGAAAAAAAATTTTGTTTAAAAAATGGCGGGAAAATTTATCGAATTTCGTTCCGGTTTTCTGATTTCCGGATAACGGGTTCTGTACTGTATTTTTTATATTAAAATTATAATATTCAAAGGAATGGATAAAAATTTAATATATACATACAGCCCTTCATTTTATATTAATCCAATTGAAAAGAAAGGTGTAATAGAAGTTTGTATTTAGTCTTACTTCACTTCGCAGGTCAGTTTTAATCAGTAACTTCACATCCCATAACACCTCATCATCACTTGATAGGAAACAGGACAATATCTTATGGAAGGTAATACCCACCAGGCTCCATGAAATTGTTGCATTCACAACCAATTATTTACCATGTTTGATTTATATATGAACACTTGATGACTTTTGTCTTTTTCTAACCCAGCTGTGTTAAACAGGAGAAGGGGGGGATTGATTAGAGAAAAAAAAAGGAATTTTCAGAGGGGATGGGGAATTGAGAGAATTTAATGCAACATTTCAACTTCTGGGAACTTTTAACCTATGTAGTCTTGATAAAAAAAGTCTTTTGATACAGCTGTGGGAAGTATTTCACAGGAACAGTATCACTTTCTCTTCTTTCTTTGCAAAGATAAAGGAGAGTGACATGAGAATCATTTTGTAGTTGAGAAAAAACTTAACAATATTTTTAGTTATGGAAAAGATAAAAAAAACTTTTCATGTTTGTACATATTTTATGCATGTTACAATTATGCATTTACATATTTTTTTTTCTAGAATTTAAAGTAGAAAAGTATTTTTTTTAATTCAAATTTAGATAAAGTGGGATTTGTTTTGAAGAGATTGAAATTAAGATTTAGGAGCATAAATGACTGTTCACATCCTGTTATGGAAGTGTCCGCTTTGCTGAAATGGTACATAATGATTTCACATCCTGTTATGGAGGTGTCCGCTTTGCTGAAATGGTACATAATGATTTCACATCCTGTTATGAAAGTGTCCGCTTTGCTGAAATGGTACATAATGATTTATTCATAGAAGATTTACTGGAAATTAAAAAGTGTTCGTTACGTGAGATTTCACTGCATATCTAATCCAAAATTTATTCACTGTTTTATAAAAAATTTCAATGCAAAAAAAGTGTGGCTAAATTTAAACAAAAAAATTTTTTCAATTCCAATATATTGAATAAATTATGCTAAGGATAATATTTATAGAAAGATCCATAAGTATTTCTCAACAGATTTTTTAATTTAAAATATAACCAAATTCAGAAATAAATAATTATGTTTCTTTGATGATTATACACAAATAAAAGGAGGGAAGCCTCTTAACTGTTTTGTTTTCAATGTTTAGATGGATATATAGTGAGATCTCCTTATAGTGAGATCTCTTGTGTGCCTTATAGTGAGATCTCCGAAGCCAGAAAAGAGGCTCAACCGGATTTATTAACAAGCTCTGCTTTGTGTATGTTTGATGCTTCAGAACCAGCTTTTGTTTAATTCAGAGCAAAGATGAGGCCTTTATGAGAAAATTATTTACGTTTTAACTTAGTTTTGTTAACATTTAAATTAGCTACAAAATAGAAAATTGACTTATTGTCCATTCTCAACAAATATAAGTTTTTTTTTTACTGAAAACCATAATATAGCTTATTTTAGTCATTGTCAGCACCTGCATAAGTTGAGAACAAATTTCCAACAAAGTTCTGCTAGAAGTAGATGCTCAATCATTTAGGGTTCCATAGCTGAAAACAATTTGGAACTGCTATATTAGGGGACAGTTTTTATGTATATGAAAAGCTTAATGCAATATAGTAATAAGCCATATATTTTTGCATCTAACTCCAACTTACTTTCAGTACTTTACAAATTTCTAATAAATAAAAGCAGAATTATTTCCTATTCTGAGAGCATGCCGTTCAACAAAAATGTTCTGATAATTTTGTAAAAGTTTGTTTATCATTATGAACCAAATTGTGATTAATTCTATTATGTAATCAAAAGTTGTTCTTTACATTTTATCATGTTTCAATGCTAACACACCATAGTGTATATTATCAAATATATATTTTGTAAATAAAAGACTTTTTAAAATTATCTTGAATATCAATAATCAAAACCACAGACTCAATTTTAGTACTGAAAAAATCCAAATAAAAGCTACCAACCGCCTAATATGTACATTTATAATAATGCACATAAATATAACATTAATAAGAATATTATAATCTATAACATTAATAAGAACGTCTGACTAAGATTTCTGCTTTAGTTTGAGTAATAAAAGCCTAAAATGTAAAAAAAAAAAAATTTTTTTTTTAATCTGAAAATTTAATAAGTATGCTAAGAAATTTTTAAGAATAATTATACACTGGTAGAAGAAAAAGTCCTAACAAATTAGGAGATAGAAAATATTTCCCATATTACTCTAGTTTACTGAAGATAAATAAATAAAATTATGTATGGATACAGTTTATTGTGTGACAATGTGTACAAAACAACAATTAAAATAAAATCACAAGCAAATCAACAAAATTTTTGGCAAATGCCTATTAGCTCGAGTCCACAGAAGTTCAATTTTCAGGTCAAAATGGCTGTGAAAATGCTACTAGCATGGTATTTGGTCTCCTCTTACAGCATGCACAATGAGTAGCCATGTTAACAAGTTGGTTCTGAAGTGCTCTTCCTCCAGAGCAGTTTTTAACTCCTACATTGTTCTAGAAGAGGGCTGGTGTGCTACTCTCACAAGAGCATCCCAAACAGATAGCATTAAAGTCAGAGGATCTGGCTGGGCAATCCATTCACTGAATATCTTTTACTTTATAGATAGTCAATTACCTGACAGGTGCTCCTGTGTATAAAAATGAACTGAAGGGTAATGGCACCCCTGCTCAAGGATCTCTTACCAGTAACTCTGTATTCACAAAACCAGCATCAATCACCATGCGGGCATTTTACACGATTCCCGCCCAGACCATCACTTCTCCACCAACACATGTCCCTTTCCCTGATGTTGCTGGGACGATATCTGGTTCTGCCTTCCCTCCATATGAATACTTAACGGGAATCGGTTTGTAGTCTGAATATGGAGTCTTATGTGAAGAGGATATTAAGCTCTGAGCGATGTTGGTGTTGTATTGTAAATGCTCTCTTTTATCGGAGGGAGAGAGTAGGATGCAAAAAAGCCAGCTTTCTGGCAATATGTCTTCCATGAAACATGTTCCAGCGGCAGCAACGAGATGACGAGAGAGTTGTAGGTGCGACTGCAGATACCAAATACTGATTGTCATCTGCAATTGTGGCTCTCGGAAACCTTATCCTGGTTTTCTGGACACTATCCGACTGTTTGTTGTTAAACTGCCTAAACTCATTAAAATGACAATTGGTGTTACATTCAGTTACTTTGCAACCTGAGCTTAGGACTGCCCTGCTTCTAGTTGACAGATGATCCTCCATCTCACACTGTCATCTTAGCAATGTGTACCCATATCACATAAAAACAACAAGACTAATCAAGAAAGGCAATGAAAGTCACTACTCTATTACAGAGTGGAAGTAGCTGAGCAGCTGGACAGACTTTTATATCTACCTCCTGCTGCCATTAATCACCCCAACTATGACACCCATCCGTGTAATGTTTTCTATCCCTTAATTTTGTCTACCAGTGTATTTTGTAAAGACATACCAAATACTATTAATCTTCAGAAAGCTCTTGAAAACAATGAGGAAAAAAAAATTTTTATGGTACCTTTATTTCAAATATTTATATTTACTTTTTAATGATTCATTGATTTTAGAAACTTTGTGCAATTTAGAAGACAAATCCTCACTCATTGATAGATAGATATGTTCTTATTTCTTCTGAATTTAAATTCTAAGCAATCTTTTCTAAGCTTTGGTATAATGTGATTATTAATTTTAAAAAAATAAAAACTTATTTTGTTTAGAAATAGAATATGTAATTAGTTGAATATTAAGTGTTTATATGATTTTAAAAAGTTCAAAAAAAAAAATCTTATAGTTAGATGTTAATAAATCTATACTGAGATGCCCAATGTTGCAGTACTTTTCTGTAATTATAAATATAATTAACTTTTCATGAAAACAGCATTAAAAAAAAGACAATTGAAGATCAATAGGGAGAAACGGTTTATTTACAAAACCACGGATGAGAACCATTTTTCTATAATATGGCCCATTTTTACTGTGTATTAACTATCAGAAAAATTTGGGAAATCTTAGTTATAGATAAAAATCCAACTGTCATTTTGTGAAAAATGGATATAAACGATTGATCTTCAATTGTCTTTTACTTTTAAGAATTTTCTTTGTATCATATTGAATTTTCATGGTTCATTCTTCTTATTTTATATTAACAATGCAAATATTCATGAAATAGTACCACTGTTTTGTACCTAAATGGAAATGAAAGGAATTTTTTTTTCATAATGAAACTCTTTTTAACAAATTAATGACATGTCTTAACTGTTCTAGCAATAGTAGTTTTGGGAGCAATAAAACTAATTGAAAGTGTGCTAGATATTTCTTATCTCTACTAACTAATGTTTGTATTAATTTTTGAGATAAAACAATAAGCCATCTTACAATCTGAGTATTTTAAAATTATATCAGCATTTATATATCTTTTAAAACTTAGTTTGATATTTACGCATTATCAGGGGTGATTGTGAGCCCAACTCAAAAATCCTGAAAATTTCGTGAGTAAAATCATTAATGACGCATTTTAAAAAATTGTCTTTAAAAATTTAAATCATTGATATTTTCACAACATGAAATTCTAAATAAATTATATGCAGCATAATTTAAATTAATAATTTCTTATAAGTTTATTTTTATCTCTAATCACATTTATTTTTCTACCAAAAAAAATATAAATTCTAGTTCCAATATTTTTAAATAAAATATACAAGAATTTTTATACATAAATGTGATCATTGATTTCTTGATTCAGAGCTCATTCTAGATGGAAAAAAGGGCAGGGGGCAGAAGTTTAAAAAAAGGGCATTATTATTCTAAAAAGGCAATAGTTTCTTTCTATGGGCTTTACACATTCTATTAAAAAATATTGTCAATTAGTAAAAGAAAAAATAATATTTTTCTCTTTACAAAAAGTAGCAAAGCAATCATATTAATTACTAATTTTTATTAATAAATTAACATATATATCGAGTTAATGAGCTAATTAGCTTAGTAATTTGTTTAAAATGCATGCATATATTAATAAAATAATAAATGTATGTTTTTAAGTGTCTGTAGTTATGATTTAATAATTAAAATGATTAATAATAATTATGATTTAATGATAGTGGAAGTAACTGCAAACTTTCAAAGACAAGTGCAACAATGGGGTGTGATGGCTATTTTTCCTTACCAATATAAATCTATGTATTGACAGCAATGACAAACTAAATAAAAAGAGTTCAAAATAACAAAAGTATAAGAAATTCATTGTAGAGTTAGGGGAAAAAATAAAGAAAGGTTGAGGAAAGAAAGGGCAAAAAGGGTATCATCAGGGCATTAAATTACTTCAAGGGCAACAGAGTGGATTCTTTTGACTAAAAGGGCAGCAGCGTGCTGCGCCCTGTTTACCCTGCCTAGAATGAGCTCTGCTTGATTCTTCTGGAACTTGAATTTACAGATCGCTGTTAGCGAAAAATCCGGGCTTTTTCTGGAGCACAATCACCTCTGCATTATCACAAAATTGATTTTAGTGACTTATATAGTTATATTCGCATAGTTATAGATTTAAAAGAATTATACTAACATAACTTAACGCATGCAAGAATTTATATCCAATATATTTTCTCATAGACAAAATGGTAAATAATAAAAAAAATATTACATTTTCCAACTGCCTTGTATAAAACGAATTTGACAAGGCTAATCCAGTGTGACAATCTAAAATAGGTGCTAAAGCAATATTTTGGAAAAGATGGTCAGCTGGAAAATCTATAAGTAACCTTGTTTTTAAATGTTTCACTTTAAAAATGAATGATATCAGCTTAATAATTTTGAAAAGAACTTTAAAATAGACCTAATATTAAATTATGTATTTAAAATTTATAAATTGTATTTTGTTAACTGTTTAAAATTTTCAATAGAATCTAGAAAGATTTTTAATCTACAAAAGTGAAGATTTTTGTGTTTAACTTAGAAAAATCTCATCATGCAGAATGATGCAAACAAAAAATAAATAAAAAAAATAATTTTAAGCTGAAATCCAAGATGGCAAATAAAGAAGATTTTTAAGGAATATACAAAATTTTTCATGTAGGTAATAATATAAGTGTGAAATTAAATACAAATAAGGATGTTTTAGAGAACATTTAAGAGATTTTTTAAATGACTGTGAATCATAAAAAGTCAAACTTATAATCTGGCTGCTTGATTCTATTTCGTCGCTACAACAAAGACTAACAGTTTCCATTAACTGATTTGCAGTTGCACCTTCTTTTAAAAACTGAACTAAAAGTGAATTTCAAAGAAATTTCTTTTGTACTTTACTAAGAAACTTCAGTGTTTTTGAACTAAACTATGTTATCAGTTAATAAAAAAGTTCCTCTATGCTTAGTTTATTTGTTTTTAAAAGTATATTAATTTCTGTTCTTTAAAACTAAGTAAAAGATAAAAACCTATATATTTATTAATTATCAAACAATCAGACAATAAATAATTTAGTTTTATGTTTTAATTAACAGCTGCTTATTATTTTTCTAAAATATTATTATTACAAACAAAAGCTTATAATAATATTTTTCAAAAAAGAAAAAAAATTCTTTATAGTAATTTCCAGATTGGAAATATCAAAGTTAAATGTACACCTTTTTTATAAAAAAAAATGTTTAACACATGGAAATGTTACACAAAAATGTTTTGGGCTTTATTTTAATTGCATAATATTGAAGAGAGAAATGTAAAGTGCCTATAAAAAAAACTCATATTTTGATTGTTGAATATTCAGCCAAATGACTATTTCTTACATATTAAACACTAAAAATGTATTACATTGCGATGTACAATAAATGACTATTTATTGCATAACAGCAAAATGTTTAATGTACACAAAATAACAGCTTTCAACTCACTAGGGCTCAGCAAGAACTTGTTTATTTGCAAAACTGCGAGAGGTAATATTATTGCCACTAATGCAAAATAAACTAGTTATGAATGTAATATCAGTATTAAAAGCATATTTATATTTAAGGGATTAGGTATTCACTTTTGTTGTTCAATGAATTGTGGAGCTTCAAAAATTATAAACCTTTTCCTATTATATTATATTTTTTTTAAATAAGTTACCTATAGTAAATTGCATAAAAAATATCAAATATTTATTGATACAGTTTTACCCAGTTTAAGAGAGTAAAACCCACATGTCCTGTCCAAAACCAGTTTAGGACATCCAAACCCTGACTAACATTTTCCAATAGTTGAACAGTTGGTACCGCGAAACGGTAGTAAATTTGCTCTAGACAGATCCCTGGAAACACAACAAAATATCAATATTTTTTACTTATTAAGAACTCAATGAGAAAATGGAACAGTAAGTAAATGATAAACACTAACTTAAGAAAAATTTCTGATATTATTATTATTGCAAAATTAAGTTACATGAATTGATGACAATAGCGGAATTTAACATAACAATTTCATTTAAATGTAATTAAATACTTTCTTCTTCAGAGTCATTATCTTCAATAGACTTTTTAGCATAAGCTTCAGCTTCTTCAAAAACCTTTTGTGGCACAAACTGGTGTTTGCGGTTCGAGATGTCACCTACCCAGCTTAGTTCGAGCTCAAAACTTTTATCCTTCACATCATCGTGCACAACATAGATTATTCTAGCAGCTTCTTTTATTAATTCTTCGCAGGTCTTATCTTTCATGTTGGTAAGCTTTTCTATCTCTGTTTTTGCAGCTTGCTTGGCTTTCCCAATAGCACAACCATAATATCCCCAAGATGTACCTGAAGGATCGATACAAAACATTTGCGGCCCATCAAATTCGTAGGCCCCCATTATCACACTACATCCAAATGGACGGAAGGCACTGTACAATGTGTACGCATGCATATACATAGCAACACGATTTTTGAGATAACTAAGAGGAATAGCATCGTGAAAGTCGGATCTATATGAAGAAGCTTCAGACCTTGCGGTTTCTACAATTTGTCTTGCATCTGCAATCAAACCAGCTACAGCTACACCGACATGTCTGTCTACGGTGAAAATTCGTTTATTTGCACCAGGCTCGTATAATTTCGAAGTGACGAGCTTCTCGACGGCGAAAACAATACCATCTTTACCTCTCAGACCAATAGCTGTTCCACTATTCTCTACTGCTTTTTGAGCGTATTCAACTTGGAAAACACGGCCATCGGGAGAAAATTGAGAAGCAGATAAATCATAACCAGTACCGATTGAACTCATAATTGTAAATATGAGCTATCAAAAATTAAGCTCAAATTTAAAAATCAAGAAAACAACTGTGTTGTTTTTAAATAGGAAAATGCCGATGTCAGGAAGAGAAAGTTGCGGTTAGAAGTATTGTGTAAAATATTGCACGGTCATTTTATTTTTTTTAAAGAACTAGAGTTGGTTTGTTTTAGCAGCCTGCATGAATCTATCACGGTAACCCTATAAATCAGCGCCTGTATCTGAAATTGAAGCGCGCCAAGGATACTCTTACCAGAAGAGTTGTCCAGTAGACGACAACTGAACTGGAGGACAGAATAATTTCAGGATTAAGTTATTTTTGTTTTAAGAAAGGAACAACTCTTCTGTTATCCAAAAATTAATATCGATTTCTCATTCGCAGCGTTTTTTTTTATTACTATTGATGTTGTGGGTTGTTCCAAAAAAACTAGGCTCATGCAATCGCTATTTTCCAAAACTGTGGCATTTTGCAGAAAAAAGAGAATGTGAGAGTTCACATTCAATGATGGAAAATAAATTTTTCAATTTCAAATGATCGCAGCATTTTTTTTATAAATAAAAAATTGGCAAGAAAAATATTACAATCTTTCTTTATTTCTGGATTGTAGAAATATTTCTTGTCCAGAAAATTGTGATGTGGTAGATGTAGCAGTATTTTATTTCACATGAGCTAATTGGTTTCATATAAAAAGTTATGAAAAATTGGAGGGGAAAAAAACTAATCAATTCCTGAGATAATCCTGAAATACCAATGAAGACTAAGTAGCCAAATGTGGCAAACCAAAATCTAGAATAGGGCAGAGATGACGATATAATAAACCAATGGGATTTGTCTATTTATTATTCGTGCTGGTTGCGATACTCTGGTCAATTTGAAGAGCATTAGTGTTAAAGCCTACTACATTTATTTACTTGGTGTTTTGCGTACACAAAAGTTAACAAACGGAAGCGTTGCTTACAAAAAATTAAAGTCATAAATCGGCTTTGTTTACAACCATCTTACCATACATTATTTATTTCGGAATAGGAACATTTTCTCCCCCATTCATGGGTTTGTGGGATTTACCGTCGAAAGAAACAGATTCTATTTGTTTTTTTCAAAATTGTGGCATATTACCAAAAAAACGAGTATGCTCCGATAACCATCCTATGAAGTTACACATTCCAGAATGCGGTTTTCCAGTTTGGAAATGTACTGCTCCTAATTGCCCAAAGTACATTTATCTAAGAATTGGCAGTTGGTTTGATGACCAAATTAATAAAATCTTATTTACTACAGCTGTTCGTTTTATTTATTGTTGGTCGAGAAAACTAACTACTGCAAAGTTCTGTGAAGAAGAGTTGGACATGCGCATTAACTGTTCTCTTCATTGGAATACGAAACTTCGTGAAGTTTGTGCTGTCGAAATGCATACAAAAAATGATCGGATCAAACAAACCTTGAATTCCCTAGACTGGAAAAATGTGGAAAACAAAACCTCTCCCTGCGATCGAATGACGTGTATTGCAGAATTTACGTGGCGTAGAATGCAAGAAGAAAAAGGAATGGATTGCTTTGATGCTATTTTAGGAGCAATTGTTTCGCAATATCCACCGGAAATAAAAAATTGCATAGCTGAACCTTGTAGTGATCCATGTGAGCCTGTTCTGGTAAGGAGTCCAGTAGGCAATGAACCAGATATAGAAATAAAATCTGAACCAGAAAGTGATTCTGAATAGTTTTTTAAGTGAGTCATTATAACCTTTTCTGGAAGCGAGGCAAGTAAGCAACAAACAGGATAATGAAGTAAAATCTGAACCAGAAAATAATTCACAATAGTTTTTTGTGAAACATACTAGCCTCTTTCTGGGAAAAAGAGGCAAGTACGCAACAAATAGGTTATGGAAATAAAATCTGAGCGTGAAAATGATTCAGAATACTTTTTTAAGTGAGTCATTTTATCCTTTTCTGGTAACAAGGCAAGTAACTAATGATCAGGATATTGCTGAGATTAAATCAGGCATTGAAATTGATTCAGAATAGTTTTTTAAATGTGAATTACTGGAAAATTATTAATTGTTCATTTTATTTGTTAAATAAATTTTTTTAATCATATGTTGCATTGAAAGACTTCATTTTTATAAATATTTTCTTGTAGTAGAACCAGGGCTCGAAAATTCAGAAATTTTACCCATCCCTGAGGACGGCTTGTCCGACAATGTACCCGTCCTCCTTTGAAACTAATCTGTCGCTTCTAAATAAATAAAAATATAATTTTCTCTTATTTATTACTAACAATTATATAAATTGCACAATGAATTAGTAGTTACTAGGATAACATTATACGGTAATAAAAGAAATACTAGGTTACTAATAGTAAAACCTAGTATTTCTTTAATGAAATAATTTAAATAACAAAGGTCAAGTTATGTGTCAATTATCATGTCAATTCATCCTATGTTACTGCGTTTTTTAAATAAATCAAATACGACGTTTGCCAGTTCCACAATCAAACCAATGATTTACAGAGGTTTCTGCACAGAAATCTGAAAGAGGTTTTTCATTTGGGTAGATGTTCATAATTGGGGTTGATGCTTCTTGTTTAAGACCAGTACTTAATGTGTTTTTTTGTAAGTTCATTGCTGAAAAGCCCCTTTCAGCTGCTGCAGTACTCCCAGACAGAGAAAACATCAATTCCACCATGCACAGTATGTTGCTGTATTTCGAGATTAGAGGATCATTTTAGAAGGGAAGAGCTAGACTCTTGTAAGATAACAAAAATTGAAAATATATCACGAACATTAGCGGGAAAATGGCCATCCGCGCGGACGTTAGATTCGAGATATTTGTTGTCCGCAGGGAATTTTTGACCGCCGAGGATAGGTGGTTTTTCGAGCCCTGAGTAGAACACAGTATCATAAATCAGGTATGGATCAGGTTTCACAGTGGAAGAAACCATCTCTGAAGAAACAGGCCTCTTCTATTCCAAGTGTCAGAAAGAAAAATCAAATATTTAAAAATTGCAATCTGCTTTAAATAGTAGTATTAATTTTAAAGCTATTATATCATTTTTTAATAAGTGAAAATTTCAAAGCAACAACTAAAAAATATACATGTTTAACTTAAAAATTGAAAATAACTAGATTTTTAATATTTTATGTTAATGAGTTTAGTAACATTTTATTTTATAACTATATCAAGAAATGTTAAAATAACATAATAAAATTTTATTATAACCACTAAATTAACAAATCACCTGCTATAAACATAGATGCTACTAAAATACACAAATTGAATTCCCAATTGCATATAGCATACTAATTTTTATAATGAAATACTGCTATGTGTGCGCAATAAGTACCTAATGGTGCAGAATTAAAATTTTCTAATTCTTAATTTGTTTAAATTTGAGCTATTTTTACAATACTTGTTGCTAAACAATTTTATTGGTCATTTTAAATCTGTCCCATTTTACCCAGATTCTTCCAAACAAAATGCTAATTCTGTATATATTTTAGGTATAATATGTGCTAGTAAAATCATACATTTTTCAGAATAATGAACAAATCTGCTCCTCATATTGTTCTATAAAAAAGTTATTCTAGAAATCTAGCCACAAGTACCACATTGATGTGTTTAAATCTTTGCTAAGTCTTTTTTTTTTCTTTTTTAAGTGTTTGAAATATGTTTCGTAAATTGTTTATAAATAAAGAAATTATTGCTTTGAGTATATGTCTTGCTCCAACCTCAATAATCTTTTAACATTGTTATTTTTAAGTGATTATTTTATAAAAAGGACTGAAATTGGAAAAGTTACTCGATTATGGGTGAATTTTTTCCTTTTGTCATTCAAATTTTTTTTATATGACCTCCTTATTATTATCATATTTGCCTGCTGTTCTGATATGATGTAAAGTAGCAATTCTCAAAAATTCTGCGAAAAATGTTGCTACTAAGAATTTTGAAATGATTTCATGAACTATGGAAGAGAAAAGTTTAAAGAAAGTGCTATATTGAATATATATTTTTTCTTAATATTTATATATTGTTTTGTTTCATGATTTATTTAAATAACTTATCAGTTTGTAGGACTTTAGTGTATAAAAAACTTTAAATAGGTATGTAAATAATTTTAATGTTTTCTTTTTGTGCAAAATATGTTTCATACCCTTTTTCATTTATTTTATCATGATTTGAGTTGATAGGAATTTTCAGATTTTTTTTTTCTTCCTCATTCTTATGCCTGTTTTTTATGTATATATATATCATAACTCAGTATTTTCACTACAGCGCGAGAATCACGCTTATTTTTTTTCTTTCCTTGCATTAAAAAATTATTAACGCGAGAAGATCGCACACTCTATTAATCAATTTCAAAATGAGCGAATTTTGGAAAATAAATTAGTCTTCTGCCGGTGCGAACAGCAGAACACCTTTCAGAACACATTTTTCTGCAACCACATGTTCACGGAAGGTAAGATTTCTTCATGTAAAACGTTTAAATTTTTTTTAATGCTACAAATTTACTAAGTGATTCCGAATTGTTCAGCATCTGTTGCAAGGTCATTTAGCACTCAAAACCGAATTAAGACAAAATATCGTATACAAATGACTGATAAACATTTGAGCAACCTAATGAGAAAAGCTGATGAAAAAGTAGATATAGAACGTTTTCGATATGATGATGCAGCAAAAATATTCAATGCAGGGTTGGGATTTTGGACGTCCTAAACTGGTTTTGGACAGGACACGTGGGTTTTACTGTTTTAAACTAGGTAAAACTGTCCTAAACTAGATAAAACTGTCCTTAACTGGGTAAAACTGTCCAAAACCTTGAACTTTGGTAAAAGGTAAAAATTCAATAGGTCTAACCATTATACACATAATAATTACATGTATCAATAAATATTTGAAATTTTTTGTACAATTTACTTTAACTTATCAAAAGAAAATAATATAATAGGAAAAGGTTTATAATTTTTGAAGCTCCATAATTCATTGAACAACAAAAGTGAATACCTAATCCTTTAAATATAAATATGCTTTTAATACTGATAAATAATGTTTTTACATAAGGATAAATAATGCAATATTAAAAAATAATATTTTTTTTAAAAAAATACTAAATTCGTTTAAAAATTAACCTTTTATTTTTCACAATATTTTTTTAAAAATGTTATAATTTCTGCATTACAGGGTGATAAAAAAGATATCTATTTTTTAAAAAAAATTGTTTTCAAATATATTAGTTTAAATTGGAAATACAAAATAACTGAAAAATGTATTAACAGTTTTGAAGGGCATGACATCAGTTTCAGTTACTGACACATCAACACTATGCTAAAGGAATTGAACATGAATGAAATAAAAGTACTCTTGTTTAGTATTATAGATAAAGGGGCCGTTCAAAAAGTACGTACATCCCGAAGGGGGGGGATTAGCTATTATGTACGGTTTTGTACGATGGGGAGGGGGGAGGTATTATACAAAGTACGTACTTTATAAACATACACCAAATTTAAATTTGACTTTATCCTACACCCTCCGTAAGTAAATATTTAATTTTATTTAAAACATAATTATTTTAATTTTTATGAAAAAGGGGGGTAGACTAATAAAATGTACGTACTCTAAGGGGGTGGGAGTAAGACCTTATGTACGGTAATGTACGAAGGGGGGGGGGTTAAAATTTCTCCATTTTTGTGTACGTACTTTTTGAACGGCCCCAAGCAAACCTGTTTATGACTTATCAAGCACTTAGTCCCTAATAGCTTAACCTGTATGGCAAGGTCAAACTTCAGTTATGTACTATTGAATGAGAGGACCAATTGAACTTGATCACTGATTAATCTTCCTTTGTTTAATGTTTAAATTGAAGAGTCAAACAATATTAATAAAATATTATACTTTTAAAAACAAATATTCTGTAGTAGATTTAAATATCAATATGTTATTAGTTCTATGTTTATTTTACCTCTTAAATATTGTTCAGATAAAATTGTGACATAATTTGAGTAAAAGGGGTATTGGACAGGACGGTTTAAACCGTGGATTAATCCATTCTGTCCTAAACCTTGCCAACCCTGATTCAATGCTTTAAAAATTAGAAGATGTTAAAAATGTATTATAATTAAAGAAATATTTTTTTTCCAAGCCAGGGGTCTGTCTAGGGTTTTCTGAGAGGTACCTATTTTGTGAAAATTTAGATATCATTTGTGAAAAATTAAAAATTATGTTAAAAAAATCAACACAAAAATATGGACTTATGGTTTCTTAAGGGATACAAAAATATAATTTTAAGAAAAAGTATTTTGTGAAACTACCGTTTCTCCTAAAATTGAATTTGTGAAACTACCGTTTTTCCTAAAGTTGAATTTGTGAAGGTATCGCTAAACAGTAGTAAATTCGGCCTGGACAGACCCCTGCAAGCCTATTCGCGTTTTTTTAATTTTTAGAAATCTCACTTAACTTTTTGAGATCTCACCCTGTTTTTGAGAAAGGGTGAGAAATTCTCTCTCATCTTTTTTTTCTGTAATGCAAACACTGATAACTGGTGTTGAACAGCAAACCCAATTCTGAATTTAAGTCTACCAATGTTCATTTTGTTTCCATTTTGAACCCAGAAAACAAAGTAACTACTGGGTGAAACATTGGAGCCATCATGGAGGACTTTTCAATGGAACTAACTCACATTTGCATTAGTTGAAGAAGAAAACCTTCCATGATTACCTCGATAGAAAGAGGATTTTAACCCAGGATCAGTCTACCTCTGAGGATATTTTACTACAACACTGGTTGGAAGAAAGCCAGGAGTCTTTTACCTGTCTTTTCTTTATTTCGCAATTACAAACCTTACAAATTTTCATTCAAAAATAATTATTTTAGATGTTTTCCTAAAAATTTGATATAGAAAGAGTAATAAAAAGTTTGTTTTTTGATATTTCTATGTGAACTCATTAGACGTGATTATATATGTATGTTATTGATATTATTTTGCAATGACTTTTCGTGGCTTCATATCAGCGCCGTAACTTAGAAATTTATAAGCCAGAGACAAAAAATACAATGCTCCTTGAGCCTTGAACTTTAAATTTTAGTTTGTAAATTTTTTTAGTGAAGTGCAAAAATTTTTAATGTTGTTTAAAAATGTGGTCTTAAAATTCTGTCTAAATTGGTGTGATTGATTTCATGCTAATAAAATATTATTTAGTTAACTAATAAAATTAAGCAAATATTTTATTAATAGAAATTCAAGAAATTTTAACATTAAAATCTAAAAAGCCTAGTAAATGAAAGGAAATTTCTTCCTGAGCTTTTACCAGATATCTTAATATAGTTTGTTTTGAATTGTACAGAAAAAAAAATTTATTGTTCTTCTGGTAATATGTGCTGAGTTCTTTTTAAGTCCAAAATTTTGCAATTGAAACTTATCATAGTTTTTCCAATTACTTTTTTGCAAAATTTATGCCTAAAAAGTAGCTGAAAATAAGTAAAATTTTGAGCAAAAAAACTGTATAAAAGCTAACAGATGAGAAAAACTCATGTTGTTAATGATGTGCTTTATAAAGTCATAAATCAAATAGAAATCTATTCCATTAATTTTAAAACAAATTAATCTAAATGAACAAGCAAGAAAATTTTTATTAACAACATATAATTAATAAAATTAAAAAAAACAAGCATGTCAAACATAAAATAAGTAGGAAAACAAACATTTTTGATAAAATTATTATAAAAGAAAACAAGATTCTCCCAAACATATTTGTTTATACTTGATGGTTTTAAAAAGGAAATTAAAAACAAAGCAAGATAATTAATTACAAAAAAGACAAGTTTTTTTTTCTCAAATGTTTTTTTGCTGCAGCATATAAACTTTTATAAGTCAAAATCAATTTTTAATAAGTTATCTGTGATAGTGTGCTTGACAATTTCATAAATAAATGTCAAATATTTAATAACCATTTATTTCCTTTTTATAAAAAAAGAATGAAAAATAGTTATAATTTTAAACATGCTTGTGTGTTAAAACATGTTGTGTGTAGTGTTAAGACATAATTTTAACCATGCTTTAATTCTATGATCAGATAAATCTACGTTTGATCATAGAATTAAACTAATGTATTGGAAAGTCCTCAGTACAGAGATTCAACTTTTTTTTCTAACTTTTCTTGAAAATAATGTGGGTGCTTAATCCTTTACTGGGCATAAGCTTGGAAAAAATCTTAAAACTATAATTTGCACAATATGATTTCAAATTTTAAACAATGTTTGAATAAGATGTCTAAAATAAAGTAAAACCAAATAAGAAAAAAGTTATAACTTCTCAAACAATGATAGATGCTAATTTTTTTTTAATTTATGATAGTTCTTAATGAATTGGTAAATTTAACCATATAATTAGTCTTTAAAACAAATAATTTATGCTTTTAAGTCCATAAAATTTATACAATATCTTAAACATCTAAATTACACAGAGGTTATACATTAATTTGAAAAATTGGATTTTTACTTAACTGAAATTTATTATTTTAACTGAAATTTATATTTGAATTTGAGTATATTATTCTGTTTGTGTGATGTTCACTAATTTTAACAATTAAACGATTCTTAATTCCGTAAGTATTCATATTCACTTTAACTAAAAAGTGATAAAAAAAATATCAACAATTATTATGAAATAACAGATAAATTAATAACAATTAAACAAGAAAAAAATAAAAAATAGCACTGATTGTAGTTATTAAATAGGACACAACACAAAAATACAAGGAACTAAAATAAAAAATGGCACATAAAAAAAATGCAAGTTTTGTAAAATATATTTTTAAAAAAAATTATTTTAGAATTGCCTTTTCCAGTTTTAATATTTCATAAAAACTGCACCTAACTGTACCGATGCTTAATTAAGTGTAAACAATAACTAGATTCAAAAACTGGAACGAAATCTTGAAAACTTCTGGTGTATCCCTTCGTTCGTGTTATGGCAATGAGATATGTGAAACAGATTGGTATTTTTGGGATCTTTATTATTGAGATTGCATTTACATGTTATTTAATCATTTATAAGATTTTTTTCTTGTGATTTTATAACTTTTACGAAGTTACTAGCCATATATTGATTTAGGGAAATTAACATCACAACACAAGTGTAAGGTTTGCTCTGATTTTAGTGTTATCTTCAGTTTTTTATACTTATAGCTTAAGTAAAATGAATTTAAAGATTGAACAGTATATAGTTTATCATAGTGTGAACAGTATGAATACAATGATAATATAGGATGACATGTTTTCTAAGCTTTGACCTATAAATAAATCAATCGGAAGAAGTAACCTGGAACTTGTAAATTTAGGTAGGACATAAAAACCTAATAAGAGATAGCAAAGAAATTTTAATTAGTAAAAGTACTAAATAAATTTTATCATTTTTTTTTTATTAAGACCTTTTTTCAGCTCAATTCCTCCAGCAGTGCAATTGCTATTAAAGAGGTGGTTGCTTTGTTTGTTAAGCTTGCTTCTTTCACTTATTTGATTTTTTTTATTATATGTCTGCATAAATTAATGATCTTTACTATAATCCATAATAGCAGATCTTCTAAATTAAGAAATATTACATTTAATTAACATCTTCTCAAATTGGTAGGAAAATTAGCTGTTTATTACTTAGTTTCATACAAAGAAATGTAAATATTTTGTTACAAAATATGTAATCTAAACCTTTCCTAATGTGTGATGGAAAATAAAATTTATAACATTGTTAAACTGTTTTTATCCTGATATTTAAACAAAAATTAATTCAACTTTAAATAAATTTAATTTTCGCACAAATAAATATTGAGAAAATAAAAAATTTTAGAACAGTTATATAATAGTACAACTGAATTATTTCTGAATTAATAATTGAAGAAATATTAGCTTGTAACTGATTAATAAAAAGAAAAAAATTGAAGCATTTCAAGTGATATAACTCATGGAAGATAAAAGATAAATTGGTTATATTGTAATAGTATAAACATTTTTTATTATATGGCATAGAAAATTCGAATAAAATTTAATAAGGCATTGGAAAGTGTTTGCACAATGCTACTAAGTTTGTCTGCTGTCATTGACATCACAGCATTGGCATTTTTAAAATTTATTAAACAGTTATTTTACATAAAATATGAAAAATTACTGCAGGAAAATATATACATAGAGAAAAAAATTCTGTTAGAATATGATATTCAAGTTCCATACTTAAAAATTGCACAAATGATATGCCTGTGTTGGACACTATATCTAAATGACTATGAATTAATAATTAGGATATGTAATGTTAGATTATTGTTCATACATCATAAATCAAAGCTCTATTTAAAATTTGATACAGTCTTAAATATTAAACTGATATAGTACAAGATAAAAAAAAAATAACATAATTTGAGCTGTACATTAAGTAGTTTATTTTAAATTAAACTCATCTGAACTATACTAAAAGTAATAATGGTGAATATAAACGAAATTGTAACTTCAATGTAAGTGACTACCAAAACATTCTAAAACAAAATTTTTCAAAAAATACAAATAAAAAATTTCCAGTATTTTGAGACTTTTTTTAGAGCATTACAAAATTTTCTTTATACTTTCCACAATAAACCAGCTAACAATATCTGCCACTCCAAATTTACTTTTGCACCTTCATAAAATACCACAGATTTGTGTATATACATTATACATAAACTATTGATTTATGTATAATACATAAATTACAAATTTATATATAAGCATTATAATATACTTTCACAGAAAAATTAACGACAACATTTAACACACTAAGATTTTATAGAAGTGAATTTACATTTATACTTTTATAAATATTTTATTAATTAAATTAATCTTATAGTTATTATGATTATGTACAGTTTAATCACAATATTATTGATGGATATTAATTAAGTAGTAGTATTTTTACAAAGAAAAAAAACTATAAAAACAGCCATAAATATTTAACATTTTTTTTACTAAACCTAAATCAGGTACTTTGTATGTAACAAAACAAATGCATTTAATTAAAAAAGTAACTGCTGGTATTGAAAATTGGTTAAAACCAGAATTTTCTAGCAAAATCTATTTTTACATATGAGTATATTTAAATTTTATCTTCAAAATTTTAGTTTTGATTCATAAGTCAGGAGAAACTAATTTATGCCAAAAAAGCTGAATTTTAATAGGTTCAATTTAAAATTCAGTATTTCTCGAAGGGGTTGACCATAAATAATTCTTTAACTATGTTTTGAACTTTCTGTTTCTGACTAAATGCCATATTTTTCCCACACCTCCATGCTCTCGCCATGTCACACTATATTACACAAACACATAATACTTACAGTTCCAAAACAAAGCATTACCTGGTAAATCATATATCAGATTCAATTTTTAATGACATTTTTGAGCCATAACAATAACAATGAGTATGCCTTTAAAAATTTCCGTTTAAATATAAAAGTAGGACTAATTTAAATCTTAATCATCATTGATTTTTTTTTTCAAAACTAAATAAGAACAACAAGAAAACCAAACAAAATCACCAGCATATAACATACTTTCATCATCATTAAATGAAAATATTTAATGTGATGCTCTTAATGTTTGTAATTTAACCAAAATGTGTGATGTCACACCTCTTGTCACAGACTGTCAGAAATCTTTTTCCTTCCCTTTAAGCATGACATCATTTATAGATGGCTTTAAATAGAGATGCAAAGAGGGTAGTTGAAGTGTTAAAATTTTCTGAGAACAAGACTTATACTGGATCTTTTAATCCAAATGTTTAGAGAATTTGTAATCCAAACCCCAATTATGAATTCTCCAAATGAAAAACAAAGGCTCACCGAAAATATTCATATTATTACTAAGTAAATGCTGATTTCAAATTATATTCAGTTTTGCCTTTTTTAATACAACTAGAATTAAAGGTATTACACTTTTATATAGTAGTTGAAGAAATAAATTCTAAAAACTATATTTGTACAAAATATAAGAATTTTGCACTACCATTATTAGAAAAGAGATAGATCTTAATATCTCATTTGCACTTATAAGCATCTTATTGCAAGAAAAGCATTAACTAAGAAACTGTCACGCATGATGCATTAAATTTATTTCCATTATCTTTTTAATTGACTGTCTTTTTAACTACTTAATAACTAAATAAATTTGATATTAGAATTTATGAATCAAAGATAATATATTAACAAAATATATATAATTGAATAATTTGTAATTGCATGTTATTACCAAAGAAAAGCTCACATATTTTTTTCTTAATTGTGTCCAGAGTGGGACTTAAAAAAAATTTCTGACTTTAATGCTTGGAAAATAGTTATCTCCATAAATCCACAGCCCTACCCTGAAATACTCATTTCTCCCACAAAAAACTTTGAGTAGAAAATTCTATTTTTAAACCATTTCTTCTTCTACAGAAACATTCATAATAAGCAATAAAAAATTACAAAAAATAAGCTTAAATGCATCAATAGACTTTACACTATGCTTTTATGAACACAACAGTGAGACTGGAAAAACAAAAGAAAAGACTTTAAATATTACTCATAACAGCAACAAATATTACACATACATTAAGCTTTAGATTTAAAGCAAAAGCAAGTTGAAAAATATTTTCACTAATATTTCATTTTAAATAACATATTTACAAATAAGTACAAAACTGTACAGAAAATAGTTTTTGTCATGTGACATTATTTTCACTTTTTAAATCCAATATGATTGACTTAGGGTCCTCAGCCAATGAGCTCCAAGAAGTTAAATGACAAGGGTCCAAATCCAGATCATGGCACACAGCTCCACCTGTTGGATGCTGAGGCTGATGGATGAAACAAGTGTCTTGGGTACTCCAAAAATTTCCTACAAGCATATCGGTCCACTCTTTCAAATCTCTGCCAAAACGTCTTGAATTAGCTAGAGCTTGTCGAAGCTGAGTACTTTTGTTGGTAAATCCCAGCAAAGTCTCGACATTACTGAAATCATGATCGACATACGGTTGACCAGGTCCGTTATGAAGGAACTTCACTTGCTCACTGGACACTTCTTGACCATTGTAAACTGATAAGGGTGTGACCAAGAAACGAGTTTCAGCTACTAATTCCCACTCATATAAAAGCTTTAAAGTCCAAGCTCCTGGACGTAGGGGAGTTCGGAAAACTGGTTTATGATATAGGATCTGCAAAATCAAAACCAATCATATGGCACAAGTTAATAGTAAAATAATTTAGTCTTATGACGTGAGGTTTCTAAAATTAAAAACTCAATATGTAATAAGATCTGTAGAAAGTGAAAATAATTATATGACAAAGATAAATAGGAATCATAAGTGAGAAATTGAATCCTAATATTAAGCACAAAGTAAAATATAATTCTCTAAAAATTATTAATTACCTTGTTAATTATATTTTAAGTTTGTTAAACTAGAAATTATTTTTGAATCTGCTGTTTTAAAGTATTTTGCATAGAGTTTACAATTAAAATTGAAAAAAATTAAAAACTTTATAACTAAATTTTAACTGTGTTATAATTTTCTGGGTATAGAAATTAGTTGAAATGTTACTTGATGCTTAGTTTGTGTTTTTAAGGAAGAATTAAAACAAGGATAATTAAAGATCTAAATAAACAATGCATTCAAAAATGGGCTCCATCAGCTACCTTCTGAGTATTCCACTTTTCTTTATAGTTCAGAAAGACTCTAAATTTCTTTAACAGAAAGACTTTAACTATGATACATAATATGTTTGATTTAATTTCAAATATCTTGCCAGCATCTTGTTTTTGATTTATTTCTTTGAAATAATATCAAAACTTCTACTTTTACGACCAATTCTATTATTATTAGCTATATTAGTGAAAATTATTTACTTAATGCAACATTCTTATTCAATATTTGAAGATCAGCTTTAACAAAATAAATAATAAATAACCTTTTATGGATAGAATTAGTATTCAAAATTTAATAAATGCACACCTGATTGCCACTTTCTATTTTAACTTCATAGGATCCAGCAACGGAATTAGTAGGATCTACCCAAACAAATGTAGCAGAAAATGACGTGCCAGGTCCCCACTTATGAATAAGCCCTGGCTCTGAGAAGGGTCCCAAGATTCTTCCAAAATTTCGGAACACTTGCTCTTTCAGATCGTAATCGGTGCCAACCTAGAAAACAAAAAAATATGCAAAATATTACTAAACAGTTAAAAAGTGTTGGTTAAGAAAAAATATTTAGCATTATAAGATATTGATTCAGAAAATTACCAGTAAAAACTTCAATCGTCCAGTTGGTCCTATGCTTTTATACACAACATAATGTTGAATTGGACGAACTTGAGTTTCTATTATCACAGGTTTTTTTTCTTTAGCTAATGAAGCTTCATAAAGAATTAAAAGTCCCTAATAAATTAAAAAGATAAGACCATTTTAGAGAAATTTGATTGAAAAATAAATAAATATGTTTAATATATGGGGGAATAGTCTATAATTTTCCAGATAACCTTTCCAGACTAACCCAACCCTTTTTATCGAAGACTAAAGAGAATTTATTTAAATCAATGTTCTTTAATGTTAATTTTCTTTCTAATACTAATTAAAACATGGTGAGTAGAGTTTGTTAGTTTTAAAATATTTAACAAATACAACATTAATCAAAGTATATACTTTAAAAATCTTCAACATAAATGGATTAATCTACACAAATATCTATTTCACAGTAAAGAAACTGAAATTTACACATATATATACACTCATGTTCTTAAATAAAGGATAAAAAAATCCTGCAAATAAAAAAGTATAAACAGTTGAAAAGTTATAATATAAATCAGAAAAGCAGATGCGACTTATTCAAAAAGCCTATTTATTAAACAAAAGATAAATAACAAGAAATATGGTGTAAGTATGATCCATTCATCTAAATTTTCATTTTCTAATTTGGTAATTACAAGTTTATTTGACATTTAATTTTATTTTTAAAACAATAATTGCAGTTTAATTAAACAGAAAGATTTTCAAAAGCAAAAATCAATTAAAAGTAAGAATAAAATAATTAAATATGAGTAATATTGTTACAAGAACAAATTATTTTATTTACAAAACAATCTAATATATTTTATCTGGAAAAAAAAGCAAATTAATTTAAATATATTATTATACATAAAGCAATAAGGAATATAATTTAAATTAAATTTTTTTAAGAAATTTTCTTTAAATATGAAGCAATTTTTTTTATAAAACAAAACTAAATGAAAAAATATGCTTTGAGTGCTGTACACTGTAACTGCTGTATACTGTACACCAGGCTCGCGGGCCGCATGAGGCCCAAGATGGACACTTTTGCGACCCAGTCAATATATCTGACGCAAAATAAAAATAAAATAGAAATGTGAATTAGAAAGGAAACTAGTATATAAAATTATAATATACTTTATTTATAAACTATACGGATCATTTTAAATTGTACACGCGAAAATGTAAAATTCTAATTGGCTTGCGGCACCTCCCATTCCAGGGACACTGCATCGTATCAAAAATAAGCAGAAAAAATATCAAATCTTAGAACAGAACTCGAAACAAGGTTTAAAGATTTTAATTCTTTGGAAGACAAATTTTGTTTGTTTGTTTGTTTTCGTCGATTTTCTCAATAAATATAGACTCAGTACCCAGTAATATGCAAATGGAAGTGATTGAGATTCAGTGCGACTCAAATTTGAAGGCAAAATTCATTGAAGTGGGTATGCCTGAATTTTACAAAAATTTACGGGCTAGGTCTGAAAATACTCGAAAATTTGCATATGAAATTATTTCCATGTTTGGAAGTACTTATCAGTGTGAGCAATTATTTTCTGTTATGAATGGAAATAAATCTCCTGTCTGAAACCGTGTTAATAACGCTCACATTGGGTCAATTTTGAAAGTAGTCTCGGCCAATAACATTTCTCTCGAAACAGGAAAGATAGTAGCAGAGAAGAGATGTCAAGTATCAAACAATAATTTAACTTTATATATGTTTATTACAATGTACTATTCAGAATAAAAAATATTTGGTTCTATGAACATAGATTTTTTTTTTTGCAGCTCACCAAAAGCTAAGCATTGTTCATTCGGCCCAAGTTAGCTTTTGAGTTTGACACCCCTGCTGTACACTGTAAGCCACTACTGATTACTTTTATGAAACAATTTTATCACAAGGAAAGTACAGGTACCATAAATATAATTAATTAAATTAATAAATACTTCAATATACCTTAAATACATCATTTACACTATATATAGTTGCTTCCTTTAAGGAGAGAAATTTAACCTTGCAAGGTTGATGAATAGCCTGAAGTTGCTTTAAGCCTATCCTTGAAAAGCTCTCATATATACTTATGCGGGAGTCATCTGAAACCGGTGATTTGTCAAGGAAATGATAATCATTTTGCCAATAGCTGTCCATGTTGATAACCCCTAAAATAAATTTAAAATGAACTTTTCGTGTATAAAACTAGAAAACTAAACATTTTATGAGTTTAACATAAATGGCACAGCTGATGATATAGGAATGAGATTGCCGAGAAGTGAAAAAAAAAGTAGAAATTCCACAGGAGTAAAAAATAAATTAAAAAAAGTTTAATTAAATTTCACAACTATATATGGTAAGAATTAAAATTGAAATTATGTACAAAGTACAAAAAATGGAAATAAGTGATATTTAATAAAATAATTAATAAAATAAAATGTTATATTTTCACTTTTATATTAACAGTCATATTAATCGCCAAGTTTCTAAAATAAAATGAAAAAAAGAACAGTTTGTGTAAATAAACAGTAACATATATCCAATACAAATAAGAAACTTGCTTTTCTTTAAAAATAATAAAAATTTTAAAAATACATTTTAAAATGTATATAAATAAATCTGTGTACTATATAATTTTTTAATAAAAAAAACAAGCAAGCAACATTCACAGGATAATGAAAATGTATTTATTGCTTGAAAGTTTACTATTATTATTCGGGAGAAATGAATGTTTTCAGATTAGTTAATACACAAAAATGAAAAAGTTATTAAAAAAAAGGGTTGATGTTTCTGAAATTTAAATTGCAGGGTACATCTAAACTGCTACCATAATGTAATCTGGTTCTTCCTTTTTCTCACATCATACAATTTTTTTTCCATTTTATAATTAACTATAACTGATGCATTTGTACACATAGATATTATAACTAAGATGCTATGAAAAAACTATTTCATTTAGGTTGTCAAAAGTTAAAGAAAGTTTAGGTAGCCATAGCTTATAGAGTACCCATAGCCAAGCTTATTGAATGGTTTGAATATCTATGGCATATTTAGTAAAATTCTGAGTTTTAGATAATGTATTATAATTTTAAACCATAAAATTTACAAATAAATTAGTTAATTCCTAAAAAAAACAAGAAGATAACAATTTTCAGCAGCATAGAGCTTTATTTTTTTACAATTGATATATTTATATAAATTGCTACTTTGGATCATTTATAAAAGAATACTAAAATCTCATACTTTAATAATAAATAAAATTAATACTTTTTGTACAAATTATATAATGGAAAGCAACAAATACACTTAGTCTATCATAAATTAATATCCCATTTCTTAAAAAAATAAATAACTAAAACATTATTTTTATATATTCATTAAAAACAATCAGGTTTTTTAAATAATATAAGATACAAAAAGTATCAAACTCAAAATACATATATATACAAATAATTAGTTTTTTTTTCCAGAAAATTTCTTTCATGTTATATGACTTTTGTGAGCCTTATTTATATAATGGTAATAGCACTTCTAAAATGCGCAGATTACACAAATATTTACGAAAATTAATGATTACCTTTCCTAGCTCCATGAATCCACGTTTCCACTTGCTCTATAATTTGTTGATTGATAATAGGTTCAAATTTTCGAGCAAAATAATATGGACGGTCTTCAGTGGCCTACAAGAAATAAAACGTAACAATGGCATGATTAAAACCTAATAGTTATTTTTTCTCTTTTAAATAATTCCAACTAGAATGTCTAACTCAAATAGACCAAATATTCTAATAAGGATATAAAGAAAGCAGCTAATTAATTGCTCCGAGGTAATTTTATTTATTTTTCCATTATTTTCATAAAATAGAAAATCCATGTAAAAGATAAGTGACTTTCATTAGTTAATTTCATAACTTTGGAAATTTGTACCCAATTAAAAAGATAACAAAAAAAATCTTAGATAATTATTATTTATTTTATTTCATAACTGAAGTTGAACAGCTGACCCATTGTTTGGTTTACAACTATCAATGTCCAACTCGGTAGCCTAATAATTTTTAATTCAACTAACAAAACAAAGGAGCTCCTAGATCATGCAATCAAGCATTGGGACAAAATAGCCTTAGTGGAGGACTTTGTGATGAACTGACTGCCACATGCATTACATGGCAAGAAAAACTCCAAAATCCACCCACAGTTAGCTGAATGACAAGGGGATTTTAACCTTGGATCAAACACTTTATTTTATTTCATAACCAGTCTTAAAAAGCCTACCCATTTCTAAGCTTGCAACTATTAACGTTCAAGTCTGTGACCTTGCAATTTTGAAGCTAACTCAGAAGGCAGGTAAACTCCTGGATAAAGCGTTGGAACAAACTAGTCTTTGTAGAAGACTTTTTGATGGAACTAACCTACATTTGCATTACAAGGAGAGAAAACCACGAAAATCTATCATGGTTCGTCCGATAGCAAGAGAATTATAATCCATGCGTCAGAACTGTGGTCAGTGTAAACCAGAAGCAGAATTCGCATCAACTAGCTACTGCTGGAATTCGAACCTGAGTCACCTCATTGGGAGAACACTCTAACCCCAGAGCCACCATGCTTCTGGGATCAAGCATTAAGGGAAACTGAAAAGAATTTTGAAGTGAAACAACCTTTTTTTGCCTTAGTCTGAGTAGAAAACTTTTAAAAATATTGAAATATGCAAAAAGTTAAATTATTATTAACTTTCGACCACACTCCTGACTAAACTATTTTCCATATTGACGCTACCGCATAAAATTTAAAGGGTTAAGAAATGCAAATTAGTAAAAAGAAGATTATGTTTATTCGTAGAAAGTACACTTGGTGTTTGAATCAGAAACATAATTAATTAGCATATTCAAGTTTAACTCTTTAAAGTTAGGATGAGTGAGTACCATTTTTTCCAGAATCAATTACAAATGAATACTGATACAATGAAGTATTAGCAATAAAAAGAAACTTTTTTTTATCAGACACTTATCAATATAGACCTTAATACAGTGAGCAAAAAATCATCTGTTGTTTTATTTCCTCGAAACTGAAGTTTTATTGTTTTCATTCGAATGCAGATTTAAGAATAATTATCTAAAAATAAAACGGCAGAAAATAAAACAAAAACATTTTGCTTAAAATATAACATATTTAACATGTGTTTATTATTGTTACTTTTCATAAAGTAATAAAAATATAATAAATCTAAATACTCAAATAGTATATAACAGTATATCACAAATTCATATATTATAATATATGATGTCCATAAAAATTAAATGTAATACTATTCTAAAAATTTTTTATATATTTCATTATAGTCCTCTAATTAGCTGTTAAAAGAATATTTTAAAAAAATTTCATGAAATTGAGCAGGTGGAATTGAAAAATGTTATTTAAATTACACAATCAAAAATGTGATGTAAGAAATGTAATACAATTCTCTGTGACAAAGCAAAAATACAGTTTCAAATATCAAGGTCCCTAAAACTGATCCAAAACAAACTGCTTCAGATAAATGCAAGTCTAAGCGTAGATCAAGAAACCAGATCCAAAATATACTAATCTAAACTGACCCGAACTACTTTAAAGCGAGTAGATATTCATTGTTACTCATACTGAGCTGGAGAAACAATGAATAATGAGTATGATAGGAATATGGTGTAATTATTAAACTGATACAGCTACATAAAACTAATACTAAGCTCAATTAATTGGCATTATTCTGGAGAGGAACTTTCAAATGGTGCTTCCATCTAGATGTTAAATATAGAAGTTATTTTCATTTGATTTTTTATACTGAGTTCTAAAGGCTAGGACTAAATTTCTTGTTTGAAACGATACCACATGAACTCCATCTCCTTCATTTAAAGTACTTGATACTTTTAAGTATTACTTGATACTCTTAAGTATTAAGTACAAAGTATCAAATATCTTGATAGAGACCCATTTCTACTTTAAACCATTCTGATTAACGCTTAGTTTAAGAAAATCCAATCATCAGAAGTTCACAATTCAACCAGATATAGCCTTAATGGAAAACAAGCTTTTTTTATCCAGTAAACCATTCTGCTTAGACGATATTTTTTGTTCAAGATAGACAGCAGACAAGAACTCAGAAAAATGTCTTAAAATAGTTTAGAAAAAAATGAGAGCTTTGACTTACCTGAAGGCGGGGCCAATCTTCCGGTTTGAAAACATTAGGAGAGCAGCCACACCAATCAACGATGTGCTTATACTGACACTTACAACCCTGTTTTCTCTTCCAATTAGTCACATGAAGATTGTTATCAATGACGGTTTCACAAAACTCACTATTCTGAAGGACAGTATGAAAGAAAGACTGAAAAATAAAACATCACTCTGTGAAATAAAACCTTCCTAAGTAAAGAGTCTAGATTTTTATTTCCTTAGAAATCCCCTTTATATCTTTTTTATCTTATCTATTTTCATTGTATCTAGTCTTTATATTTATCTTTGTATCTTATTAATTCTATTCTTTTTTATATTATCTGTTTTCTTAGAAATTTTCTTAAATTTTCTCTGAATTTTTTAGAAATCCTCTTTGTTTTATTGTCTTCCAAGTTAATTCATTGGCTAGACAAGCATCCTTATACTTTTGTTATACCATAATTATTAGAAATAGAGTTACAGTTTTTTATCAGTTAATCAAATAACATACTGAGATTGATTAAAAGAAAACATTTTAAATAAGGATGCCCCATTTTTAGTCCCGAAACCTGACACTGGATTCCCAGACCCAACCAATTCTACTAATTGGATAACATTCATTTATGCTTGTCACAACCATACTTGGTCTTACAGTAACCTTAAAACTACTCATAAAAACAGTAGTAGTTTTGGAAATCTATGTATTCCTTCAGTTTCTTAATAATCAAGCTGAAAAAAAATCGAATTTATGCGTAACATATTTTACTTTTGAGAAAAATATTAATTAAGGGAAACCTTTTTAAAATGAATGCCTTCAGGACGGGACAGAGAAACATGCTCACTGAAAGTTGTCCATTTAGGAGAAGGACATGAAAATTTATAAATCTAATGCTATTTTAACTAATGGTATTTAAATCATAAATCATCTAGCTATTTTAACTAAACTAATATAGTTAAATAAATACAAAATTAAAAATAGGGAATTATATTAATATTTATTTCAAGTGTGGTGATGTTCAGTTCATCACCACACACATTAAGATAAGAATAAAAATGAATAACAATTAAAAATATAGCAAGTATAGCCCTACTTATTTTGTGATGGTGGTAACAGCCAATAAGAGTTGAGTATGCTTTGGGGGCCTGGTTAGAGGAGGTGAGAGAAAGGAGAGGACATGGTTTTGGAGAGCTGAAGACACAAAAATATGAGGATCCTCAACAGCTAAGTTATATTATAAAATTTTCTATCACCCCTTAATTAATTTTTATTTATTTTATATATATTAGCAGTGCAGCTTCATAATGTATAATTTCATGTTAAATTTTTCTATGTACCTATTATTAATTGGAGTGAATGCCTTCCTGGAACAAAATTTGTAACTCTAAATATCTTAAATGATCGATATTAAATAAATAGTTTTAACACCTTGCAATTAGTGATCATTCTAATGATCTTGTTCTCTTACTTAAGAGTATATTATTTTTAATTGTTATTCATTTTTATTCTTATCTTAATGTGTGTGGTGATGAAAAATGAATAAAACTCAAAGATAACAGCAGAAAAATTGAAACTCTGAAAGAAAACTTAGTATATGCATATACATGCATATTACTCTTATACTAAGTTTGCTTTTATCATATGAGTAAATTAAATAATATAATATGTTTTAATTATGTGGGTTTGAAGACTGAGCATTCTATAGAAGTAAAATGGAAAACTGCTGCATTTTGAACAAACAATGTATTTCAAACAGGGATTATCATTAGTGTTTTGATTTTCACTAGATACCTGGCAAAATTTTAGGACTTGGTACACCTCTAATATTTCAACTCCTGAATGTTAGTGCGGAGAAGGTTGATTTAACCCACGGTACTGAAAAAGCTTTAAAAACCTACTCACTATTTCAGAAATAATAAATATTTTTCATGAATCATTATCAATTCAGCCATGTTAAAAACAATTTAAACAAAAAAATTCAGCAGACTCAAGAAAAACTTTTATTTCTTTATGTAAGAAATTTAGAGAACTATTGTGATAGTGTAATTTGAATTTTTCTCCCATCACCCCACAAAAAAATTGGACCAGTTCTAAAATCACCTTTTTCACAAATATTCCTGAAATTTACCAAGTTAAATATTTTAAATAATATAAAATTAACTATATGAATTAAATCTTATCTTAGAAAATGCATTTAAACTATTGTTTTTCTATTTTTTACTGCCTCAGTAAAAACTCTCATTATAGACTAGTTTATTTTATTTTGGGTGCAAACTTGAATAATGTTTTTCTATTGTTTTCTTTTTTTAAAGTCATTTAATTTACATTTTGACTGTTTGAACAGAATTTTTTTAAATAAATAATACATATACTATATATATTCTTTAATAATCAACATGCAAAAAATATTAATAAAATAATAACTTTTTCAACGCGAAATAAACACATGTTATTATAATATACCAGAAAAAACATACCCTATAACATTTTTAATAATGAAAGAATAAAAAGGAAATAAACAAATTTACTTTATTAACAAAAAATTATGATACAGGGAGACATGAAATTTACAAATTTAACTGAAAACCGGAGAGCTAAAATTGCAAAAAAAAAATTTAAACAGGATGTGTTGAAACTTTCCATTCAAGACTGAGTTTCAATTAATTATTATTTCAAAAAATTAAAGAAATTTAAAAAAATTGATAATAATTGGTAAAGAGGGTTTTTTAAAAGTGTTGTGATTAAAACAGAATTTCTAAGAATCAGAATGATAAAAATTCTCAGGAGACAAGGTAAAATAAACATTTAAATGTAGAATACAATTTTTTTAAACAAATGACAAGGGTACTTAATAACATATATTAAAAAAGAAATATTGTGAAGCATTTCAAGAATTGAATGAAAATCCCATAGTGAATTTTGATATCCATGACTTTTCTCAAATATTATCTATTTTCCTGACTTATCCATGAGCTAATTTCAATTTCTTTTCAAAGTTTTACAAGTTACTAGACATCCTGATCGTCAGTTAAGATTGTCAGTTAAGAGACAGTTGATGACTTTGTGGTACAGGTAACCAGATTTGTTACAAAGCTCTATATTAAGATCAGTTATTTGTAAACAGATCTTAAAAATAAATGCTGGAATTGGAATGGTACCAACCTTCAAATGAAACTACCTTATTCTATACTAGCTGCCCTCACTTGTGGCCACAAAAAGAGCGGACAACCAAAGAGAAACCTTCAGGTAGGTTAGTTGTAAAGGATGGCATAGGAAACCCCAGCACCACAAAGGCATAAAGAGATACATGTCACAAACTAGCTTCATTTTTAAGTCTCTATCTTTTAACAGCCATTGGTAGAAATGCCGTGTAATTTTGGCCCTAGTCAGACAATATAGACAGCGCTTGAATTGGTAACCTTTCTTTTAAAACTTCCCCACCACAACCAAAAAAAAAAACCTTTTTGCCACAACAGATTTAACATGCACCTTGCTGTGTACACATGCCAGTTGTTTTGTTGGCTGCCAGGATAAAAATTGCAATTTTCGAATCTCCACCAGCGGCATGAACACGCCTTAACCAACTGCACCACCAGAGTGCTATGATAAAGTTTGTAGGGCAAGGCAAAACACATTTACTCTACATTTAATATTTATAAACTATACTTTTAAACAATAACTTCGTAGGTAAGGAACATTTCCTATAGAAAATATAGCAGAAACTGAAAAGGTAATAAAATTTGAGCGAAATCTATAATTTGTAAAATGTATACAGTACCTCTGCAGGTAGTAATGTATAACGGAAGACTGTCATAAGGCCATGTAGTAAAGAGTTGTTTTGTTGAACGACATAAGAACAGAAGCTGCGATGTAAGCCAATCCAGTCACTCCCACCATCCACACGTATACCCCAAGGTAGTGTCCTGTCTCCCAGCCTCCACATGTGAGTATCACATTCATAAAATGTTTTGTCAAGGCCTTGCTTGGCAATGAATCTGAAAGGAATGATAAAAATTGCCTTCATGTCTCTGATTATGTATATATTACCCTCAAAGTTGAATAGACAGAGAAGTAAAAATCATTCGGTAAAGTATGAAACATTTTACATATTGCTTCTTTATTGTATTAAAGACTAATGACCAGTAAAGTATGAAATATGATTATCTATTTTGAATTAGCATGATTATGATTTACTGGTATTAGTTGACAGTAATTTCTTGGTGTGCCAAGTAGACTCATATTTTTCTTTTCTTCAATGTTTTCAATGACATTTAAAGCTATTACAATAGTCTTTTATATAGCTATTTTAACATTAAATATGTAAATTTGCTCTTAACGACAATCTTGCTACAACAATTTCATCTGCTGTTGTGAATTGACGTTATAACTGAGTTTTACCATATGTACAACTATATTTATCAATTCTTAACAATATTTATCAATTCTTAACAATATTTTTTAATTCCTAATGGCAAGATTTAAAGCCAGGCAAAAAACAGGCAGAAATAACCAGCAAAAAAAAACATAACACATGCAAAAAAAAAATATATATATATACATATATACAAAGCGCTATATAGAGAACAAACATAGAGAAAGGAAAAAACAAAGAACATGAGATATGCAGCTGTAGCTACATTCTATGAATCTAAAAGTCTTATGGTCTCCTAATGGTCTTAATAAATGTTAAAATATTAACATTTCAGTGACTAAACTTCCAAAAAACAAATTTACTTCTTATAATTTTATTTTAAAACAACTAAAACTTCCACTACTGCTTATTATGTTATAACTTAAAGCAATTGTTGAAATAAAATATAGTAAATTCGTAAATGTGTAACTTTTTGCCAATAATACAGGAGCTAGAAACATTTTTCAACAAAACTTATAGAACAAATGCTTGAATTTATGGATGAATTTATGAATTGTTAAAATATGAATTTATTTTGCAGCAGAAAACTGTAAAGTATGAATCAATTAATCATACATTGCTAAAACAAAAACAAACCTTTGAGTGTCTTGACCATGAGATTTCACAAAGTTCTTTCCATTATTTGCTATAAGGAACTTTTCCAATGAGGATAATGACCTATAGTAAGAAAAATACATCCTTTTGTATTAGAAATAAGCTTACATAATAATGTTGAAAATAATTAGGAATTCAATTTTTTTAATCTATCAGATTTAGATCCAGTATTGCAATACTGTACAAAATTTTGTATTTGGAATAGTCAAGTTTTTGAACTATATTAAACAACAAAGTCTGTCTGTTAGTGTTTTTTTCAAACATTATAAACATTCAGCTTCATTAACATTTATAGTAGATTCCACTCACTGAAGTTTATTTTTCTTTAGCTAGCTACATCATGAAGCGAAATAACCACATGAGATAAAAGTCTATTACTCACTTAACCCTTCCTTCTCGCTCCCGTGAAAATGACAGGGTGATATTTCGCATGCTATTTCTCGCTCCGGTGATATTGACGGGCTGGAGTGTTCAGTAGTGACGCACCAATAAGAATTAAATTAATTCATTTCTTTTGCCCGGAAAACATTTTATTTCCCATTTTACACACCTGATGGCAGTAACAGGATATTTTTAAGGTAATTGTAGATAGCTAGTTTATTTTAAACTAGTTGTAGCACTAATCAAATGCGTAATACAAATACAAAAGCCAAAAAAATAGGCACTTTTATGACCGTTTTCTTGAAAATTACCCGATCATTAGGGGGGTAAAACAGTCAGAAAATGTCTGGAAGTATCCAGAATGTTTTTCGAAAAAAAAGAAGTAGTGCTTCTCAAAAAGTTCGTAAATATTATTATCATTTCGTACATGAGTATGTTTGCTTGCTCTAAGAGCATCGATTTTTTTTTTTTTAAGTATACAGTTTTTTAAGTATATAAATTCTTAAATGATAACCATTTCGCTTTTTTGTTCACTAACACTATTTGTTGTTGTCTCTTTGAAGTGCAACATTATAGAAGATGTGCAGACCTGGTTTAAAAATTTTTTTTAATTACTACCTACAATTTCTTTAATATTAAGAGAAAATGCTACATTTTAAACAACCATAAATCATATAAAAGTGAGATATTTACTTTATTCAAAAAAGTATATGCAATAGATGACTCACTTAATAGGAAAATCACTTTCACTGAGATTGATAACATAATCCCATTTCCAGTCTTTAATGAGCAACAGCTCAGAAATGCAAACGAGCAACATCTGCAAGAGGCTGGCACCACCCCATATTGTAGAAAGACGGACTTCAGACAGACGTATATTAGAAAAATGCTTTTCTAAAGCTTTCAGCTTGCGGTACATATAATCTTGTCTCTATATAAAAGGAAATTTTTTAAGAGTATTAAAAATGAGACTTATTAAAGATTGAGTTTCATATTTATATTATCAATCTTACATTTTTTAACAGATTTATAACTGTTGAGGTTACGAAATATTTATTATATTGCTTCAATAAAAAAATAATAAAAAAGAGACTTTCTTACATTTTTAATTTTTAGTTTTATGAAATTTTTTTTAATTTTTTATTATTGAATTATTTTTTATTATTTTTTTATTATTGAATGAAATTTTTATTATTTTTTATTTATTTATTTTTTAGTTTGTCATGACACTTAAGATTAAGTTTATATTTTACATTTTAACAAATACTAAAGACATATTTTATTTATTATTTGTTAGCTAAAATTTAATTTGGAAAAAATTTGGCACCCAAGAGGAATTACAAAAGGAAAATTACATTAAATAGTGATTATGCAATGGTTTATTAATGGAATAGGAATACATATTATGGATATTTGTATTGGTCCATTTGTACATAATTATTAATTTTAATGAATTTTTTTGTGTGTGCATTAAAATCTTAAATTATATACTTTAAATGCTTAGAAAATAAATGTATAAATTTTATTAGCATTTTTCATTCATTTCAAAAGCAAAAAGTATAATAAAGATAAAGGTTGATAATTTTGGATATAATAATTCATGCATATAAATGATTCATACACTGAAAAATACAAACGAACATACCATGTGCTTAATAAAAGATATGTGCATTTCATTTCATGAAAGTATACAATTCTTGAAACTCTATTTATTAACTTGAAAGCAAATAATATGCTCATTTAAAATTGATTACGTAGCATATTATGCTTCACATTTTTCAAAAATCATTTCTGTAACTTCATCATTATGCAATTCATGGAAAGAAGAAAACTGAAATAGTCATTGTCAGAACCATTTCTTTTATTAATCCCTTTTGTAATAATCAAGCAATATTTTTCCAGTATATACTATATTTTAATCTTATATTTATTACATATAAATATGCATACAGAATGTATTTGAAAAGTCCAAATTATCTCAGTGTGAAATTAGGTCTTTTTATGAAAAAACCCACTTATCTCAAACAAAATTGAGTTTCAAGAAAAAACCCAAAGTTAGACGAATCCTGACACTTGCACATATATAAACGTCCAAAAACAAAAGCCTTTCTTAGCAAACATTCACGAACTAGGTAACTAATATATGTGATACATTAAATTCATTCACATATTTTTCTAAATCAACTTTGTAAATTAACTAAATAAATTTGTTTTAGGAATTTATGAACTAAAAGATAATTTATAATTCATTTATTAATCTGAAATTTCAAATAATTACAATGAATTTCTGTGCGAGTGTTTTATCCATAGTTTGGTTAACCATAAACTAAAACTTATTTGGTTAAGCAAAAATATTCAAAGGTCATTAATTAAGTTTTTTATAAGCAATTATTTAAATAATTGTAATAATACTCATTAGAGTAATACTTTTGTGAAAATAAATTTATTTCAGAAAGGAATTTTTATTTTGGCTAAAAAGAGCAATTTTTAAATTGATTGGCGGATTTCCACCGCATGACAAAAAAATCCTGCTTATGTATAACATTCCGTAATTCAAAGGACAGAAGCTTATTATAAGTACTATGAATTTTTTTTAAGTTCAAACAATAAGAAAATAATACATACTGAATCAACATGAATATAGAAATAATGATTGTGACTAAACAAAGCTTTGATAAGGCGATAGACTTGACGGACGGCACGACCATTAACAGTGAGGAGAAACACAATTCTTACTGGATCACCCTCTATGACTTTTACAGCAGGTTTGGGATCAAGTTTAACCATAGCTACAGAAAATAAACATTAACAAAAATCAATAATAATTTTTAATCAGAAATAAATAATGCTATCTACAAGTTACTTTTCAATATTTATTAATACTTGTTTCTAGATTAAAACGTTTTATATAAACGCTTATTTTAACGTTTTATATAAACGTTTTAAAAATTCCCAACAATGAGTTCTCAGAAGGTTGTAACATTACTAAATGTTTTCATTATTTGATGTAATGATATTTATTGTGCATGCTATTTTAGAAAGTTGAAGCTTTAAATCTTCTATACCCAAATAAATAAATAAGGAGAGCATCACTAAGTAATTTAAACTACTTTGAATTATATTGATATGATAATTACATATTAGCCTTCTTGTAGTCAAACTTATGTCCAAGGCAATACAAACCAGATAGTTACATACAAAGCTATTCATTATTTTGATTTTAATAAAAAAATAATTCAATTATTAATTCTTATATTAAATGTATAACACTTAACAAATTAAGTTTTAATTTTTGTTCAGGGTTATATTTCAATTGCCACAATAAAAATAAGTTTAAACATTGGTAACTTGGGACTTTAATCCCTGGCTAAAATAAATACCTAACTAATTGGACTTGATGTGTGATTGAATTAAACAAAGTGAAGTTAAGTCAATTATATTAATCCAGTTAAGAATTTGAATATGTCAAATGCAAAAGAATGAAACAGTTAACATATTCTACAAAAAGAAAAAGACAAACAAAGTAATAAAAGTAGGTCAACTCCATGCGTATTGTAGTGCATAACTGATTTTACCTTTACAAATCAGTTATTATTGATACCTTTATTTCGACCTTAAAATATATTCTTATAATCTATTTATATTTAAAAGAGTTAATAGAGTGATATCTGGCTTTCTTTATCAATCAATAGAATCTTTCTTTATCAATCCAAAAGTCAATAGAGTAATTTTTGGGTTTTTTTATCAATTCAATTTAATAATAAATATAGGTGAAAACATTTAACTTTCTCTTAAGAAGAAACATAGTAAATAAAAACTGTAAACTGTTTTTTGCAGTAATTTAAAACTGATTTTTGCATGAAACATTTTTTTAAAAAAAAAATATTGAATTCATAAAACAATAACACACAATGTTTTAGTAACTGAGAGAAACAATTTGAGTTAACCAAATTCCTAATTCTTTTTAAAGAGATAGAAAATTTTATGTTATTATGAATTGAATAAGTAAAATTTCTAGCCTCACAGTATAAAAATAAAATATTAAAGATTTACCCAATCACTACCAAAACACTATTTTGGTACAATTCTACTTGTTTAGTTATTCAATATCACAGAAACTAAATGTTTATAACCTTAAAGGGAGGGGGAAAAAATTATACACCCCATTTTTTATGTAAAAAATTCTGGAGTTTTTAATACAATTTTTACATTTTATGAATAAATCTTGAGTATACAAATTATTTCTCATTCACTTTTCTTCTTAAAAAAACTTCCATAAGATAAATATAAGAGTAATTTTTAACACTTAATGAGCACTTATTATAAAATAGCACTTGTTTCAACAGATTATATGATCGCAAAATTCAATACTAGAGAATCTGTTACAATACTCAAAAAAATTTAAGATTATTCACTAAAAGTACCTAACTTACAATGTTTGCTTCCCTATTAAACAAAAATAAAATAAAAATTTAAATAAAAACATGCATACTTTTTTTAAAAAAAAAAATTTTATTGAAACTGTTCTAAATCAATTTAAATCTAAATTTCCAAAATAATTTTTCAAAAAATAAAAATGTTTAAAAGAAGTTATATAAATAAAAAAAATCAAACAAATAATAATAGTAAAATAAACTAAAGAAAAAAATAATAAAATAAAATAAAAATTCTCACTTGGCAACCCTGTATGGAAAACATTCATTGTGAAATAACCTCCACATTTTTCAAGTGGACTCTGAGGACATTCCATTTTACAAAACTCCTCACTTATTTTGAATTCACTCAGAGGCTTCTCTTTACCACAAAAGCATTCTTTTGCGTATTGTACACCCGCATACTGATAACCAGATTGTAAGCATAAATCAATACAATGTGTAGGAGAATTATTATTCAACTTTTTTGAATAATTTGACAATAATCTTTTTTTAAAGTTGTCTTTAAAACAACCTAAATTTTTATTTGGCACATCACCTAAATAAATAAAAAATTAATAACAAAAATTATACAGGAAAAATAAAAAAATTATCAAACAAGAAAACAAAAATAACATTGAACTTTCTGGAATAATTGTACATTAATCTTTTTCAAAAGTTGCCTTTAAAACAACTTAAGTTTTTATTAATGCCTACCTTAGACAGAAATAAAAAATTTATGAAAATAATAATTAAAAATATGAAAATTAACAAGCATAAAATTAAAATGATTTTTTAAAAACTTATTAATTGAACTCATTAGCAACATATAAACATGCATCAATATTTTGGAGAATTACTATTTAACTTTATAATTCATCTCACTACAGAAATGGTAAATTACAAAGAAAAATTATTAAGCACAAAGAAGTAAACATTAAATGAAAATAATTAATTTTTAAGAAATTTTCTTAAATAACACAGATTATCATTATTCATTACAATGTTTATGAGAATAATTATTTAACATTTTTGAAGAATTACAATAGTACCTATTTTATAAGAGCTATTCATAAAACAACTTTTTTTTTCAGAGCATCACTTAAAAATTTAAAGGAAAAATATGAAAATTATTCAAAGAAATGAAACAAACATAAAATTAAAATACACAATATTTTAATTTCCTTTAAAATAATTTCAATTAACAGGACTGCCATAATAACAAATGCAGTGTTTTCATTACAGATAAAAAATGGGAGAGAATTTCTCACCCTTCTTCAAAAACAGGGTGAGATTTCAAAAAGTTAAGTGAGATTTCTTAAAATTGAAAAAAACACGAATAGACTTGGAAAAAAATTATTTCTTTAATTATAATACATTTTTAACATCTTCTAATTGAATATTTTTGCAGCATCATCATATGTAAAATGTTCTATATCTACTTTTTCATCAGCTATTATATTTCCGTATTTGTTTCGTTTTGACCGTTTCTACCGACATTTGCTTCATTTTCATTTGTCCGTTACGGAGTAGAAGATGTCGCCTTAACAAGGTATTTGTCCATCTTACATTCATGCACAAGAAATGTAAACGTCTTACATGAAGAAACCTTACCTACGGTGAACACGTGGTTGCAGAGAAATGTGTTCTGAAAGGGGTTCCGTGGTTCGGGGGTGTTGTTCTGCTGTTTGCACCAGTTCTGAACAATACTGGTAAATAGGGAAGCTAGATAACAAGGAACGATGTTCAAAATAATGAAAGATCAAGGAAGAAAAGTGAAACAGATTTTATTCAAAATGGCAAAATACGAAATTTTTTCCAAAATTTGCGCATTTTGAAATTGATTAATAGAGTGCGCAAACTTCTCGCGTTAATCATTTTTTATAGCGAGAAAAGAAAAAAATATGCGAGATACTCGCGCTGTAGTGAAAACACTGAAATGTGATAATGCGCTCTAGTGTACCTAATTTCCTGAAAGAATTCCTTTTTTCTCTACAATATTTTTAATATTGTGGGAAAATATTCCAATAATATTTTTAGTTAAACCATCATAATAGTTCATTGATCAACAATTTCTCTTAGATAAAAATGAAAAAATAATAGGCTTACTTTCTTAACTTTAATGGCTAGAATCATAAGAAAGAAAAAGATTTTATTACAGAATATGCAGGTGTAGAAACTTTTAAATTGCATCTATTCAAAACTTTAGTTCAACTTAGCTTTTGAAAAATATGTTTTTAAAATAGCTCATACCTTTTAATGGACAGAAGCGAGGCAATCTCTTTGGATAGAGCATGCCCTGCTGCATAAGGCACGTTATGTTAGCAATCTCATGTTTGCACGCCTGTGTTGTGGCACGATGAATGGCAGTAACTGCCTCTTTTGTTGTGATATTGCACCATGGACGAAAATCTAATTCGTCTAAGTTTAAAGCTCCATCCAACTTATCCAGTTTCCTGGATCCATTCACACTGGCTATATAAAGTTTCTTTTTCACTTCATCGTCCTCGGGGACAGAAATATGTCCATACTTTGGTTTATCACTATCTTTGGGAGATATGTTTCTACTACTGCTGTCTTTAAGGAGCTTCTCCCACATGTTTCCTTGCCTATCTTCATCATCTATGATATAATCATCAATACCAGGATCAATCTGATAGCTTTTATGCTGCTTGGAATTTTTATCTAAAGCCTGAAATATAAGGAAAAATAAATTATAATTCTCTGAAAAAAATTTAAAGTACAGTAGAATCTTGTTGTATCATTTTCTCATGTAACCCTTAAGTGTAAAGGATCGAGGTCTACATAAATTGAATGCCTTGACAAAGCAATGATGAATTTAAAAAATTATGGCAAATATAAAAAATTTTAATTGTAAAAACTATGAACCTAATGCAACAATATTTACAATACAAAGAAAATATGACTAAAAATATTTATTTACTTAAAATACATTGAAATTTCAGTTTGAACAGACTTTTTTCCTTGACAAAAGAAACAATGAAAAAAAATGAAAATTATGAAAAAATACGACAACCGAAGCTGATGTCTTCAGGGGGTATCAGCTCCGGAAGCCATAAATGCAAAACCTTTTCTATCGAGAGAGCACAACAAATGTCTAAATTGCTTTCTCTGTACCCAAAAGGCTTTGCCAAAGTTCCGGAAGAGATTACAATACAAAATATAAAATACATAAAGCAAATACAAAAGTATAAAATCAAGATTAATATTCAGTCGGGAACCAATTATCTGGAATGATCGGGACCATCACTATTCCGGGTAACCGATTTTTCCGGTTTTCTAAATCACTACAAAAAGCCTTTTTTTTACTGTTACACACAAATAAAAAAATTTGGAAATAATCTTAAAAATAAGAAAGAACGATGAAATAATACACTAATGAATATTTCCAAAATGATGGTAAGGTAAACATCCTTAAAAAAAGAAGAAAAAAATCGTAAAATCTTTTGAGGAAAAAAATATTTTTTTAAAAAAATAGCGAGAAAATTTATCGAATTTCGTTCCGGTTTTTTGACGTCCGGATATGTGGGTTCTGTACTGTATAAGAATAATACGAACAAAAACTAACTTGAAACATAAATCCTATAACCAAATTACACAACTGACCGTCACACAACAACTAAATTAAAATATTTTTTCGTTTATTTTAATTTAGTTGCTGTTTGGCAGTCAGTTGTGCAATTTAGTTAAGGGATTTATGTTTCAAGTAAGTTTTTGTGTGCACTTAGACATTTGTTGTGCTCCAGTGTCTTCATCATAGAAAAAAAATGGGTGAGAATTTCTCACCCTTTTTCAAAAGCAGTGTCAGATTTAAGAAAGTTAAGTGAGATTTCTAAAAACTAAAAAAACACAAATAGACTTGAAAAAAAAATCTTTTCGTTTATTATAATACATTTGTAACGTCTTCTATTTTTGCTGCATCATCATAGAAGATTTTGCCTTTACTAGGTATTTGTCCATCTTACATTAGTACATAAAAAATTTGAATGTCTTACATGAAAAAACCTTACCTACGGTAAACACGTGGTTGCAGAGAAATGTGTTCTGAAAGGGGTTCCGTGGTTCGGAGGGGCTGCGTTCTGTTGTTCGAAAAGGTTCTAAACAATACTGGTAAATAGGGAAGCTAGATAACGGGGCAAATGTTGAAAGATCCAGGGAAAAAAAGTGAAACGGATTTTATTCTAAATGGCATAATTGGAAGCTTTTTCAAAATGCGAGAAATTCGCGAATTTTGAAATTGATTTATAGAATGCGCAAATTTCTCGCGGTAATCATTTTTTAATGCGAGAAAAGAAAAAAATATGTGAGATTCTCGCGCTGTAGTGAAAACACTGTGCTTTCTGGATAGAAAAGATTTTGCATTTATAGCTTCCGGAGCTGGTACCCCCTGAAGACGTCAGTTCGGTAGTCATATTTTTTCATTGTTTCAATTCCTTTTGGATTTTCAGCTGCATAGTGTGTTTTTGATTGAAAGTATTGTCTTTAATTGCTTTAATTATTTTGAATTCTTTTCTTAATATCCTTTCCTTGTAGCAGATTGCTGTTCTTTCTCATTAATTAGTAAGAAGGCTAAAGGGCAATACTGAGAAATTTATCTCGTGGCCACTAGAGGTCAATTTATTTGTGGGCACTTTTTCTTTCCACATGCCACCATTTATATTTGAAGTACCTTGATAATAATTTTTTTTCTAAATTGTTATAAAAAAAAATTCTCAACTTAAAAATTTTTTATTAATATTATAAAACATTATTATAAAAATATTATACTACACACAAATTATAAAATATCATGCTTTAAGGGAAAATAATACATAATAGGTTCTACTTTAGCCTTGTTTTTCTCATATTGAATTAAATTTAATAACTAACTCCAGAAAATTAATTAAGCCTCCTAATAAAACATTAAATAACCATTTTTTTTTCTACTGACACCACACCATAAATTTCAGCATTTTCANCACTAATTCAGCAACCAATTAATATTTTTGAATAATTTTTATATAGCTTTTATTTTTAAAAAAAAAAGGAAAAGTTTTACTTATTTTGATTGTTAAAAGGCACCCTGAAAGTAGACGTTTTGGGTAAACTGACCTCAAAACATAATACTTTACTGTCAGTGTTTTCATCATAGAAAAAAAAATGGATGAGAATTTCTCACCCTTTCTGAAAAACAAGGTGAGATTTCAAAAAGTTAAGTGAGATTTCTAAAAATTAAAAAAAAAAAACACAAAGAGACTTGAAAAAAATTATTTCTTTAATTATAATACATTTTTAACATCTTCTAATTTTTAAAGCATCAAATATTTTTGCTGCATCATCATATGGAAAATGTTCTACAGCTACTTTTTCATCAGCTATTCTCATTAGGTTGCTGAAATGCTTATTTGCTTCGTTTTGATCGTTTCTACCCACATTTGTTTCATTTTCATGTGTCCCTTTCGGAGTAGAAGATATTGCCTTTATAAGGTATTTGTCCATCTTACATTAACGAGCAAAAAATTTGAACGTCTTACATGAAGGTTCTGAACAATACTGGTAAATAGGGAAGCTAGATAATGGGGCAGATGTTGAAAATAATAAAAGATCCATTAAGAAAAGTGAAACGGATTTTATTCTAAATGGCGCAATAAGAAATTTCTTTCAAAATGCGAGAAATTCGGGAATTTTGAAATTGGTTTATAGAATGAGCAAATTTCTCACGGTAATCATTTTTTAAAAAGAAAAAAATATGCGAGATTCTCGCGTTCTCGCGCTGTAGTGAAAACACTGACTGTATTAACATTATAAGAAAAGCATTTGTGACACAACTATTAAAAGAAAATGATGCATAGTGAATATGAAAGATGCAGAAAATTATAAATAAAGAAAAAACTGCATTACAATCTTATAAATATGCTAAACTTTAAAAACATGAGTCAATAATTCATTCATGTAGTCAAAATATAGACCCTAAAAACATAAAATGTGACAGGAAAAAAACTTTTAACTTTTGATGAGTTAAATTGATCTCGGGAAACCATAAATTTTAGTGGTAGTTTGCCATACCCTAAGCAAAACTATGAAAGGTACAACAAGTTATCTTAAAAGGCATTTTGTCTTTTTTTCTTAAAAGTTTTATATAATTTGATTCAAACCTTTAACATCCTCATTCTAGCTACAATAAACTTTGTTAAAAAGAAACTAGATCTACAAATATTCAAAACAACAAATAAAAATGTGAAGATCGTCCCTTTTTTAATTTAAGAGGAGAGATTTTTGTATTGTGATCTGTTGAAGAATAATCGCCAAGTTTGGCAACTTCTGGGCAATGGCCCACAATAAACTTAAAAAAAACATAACAGAAAGGAATCAAGTTGAAAGGTATAACTCCTTGCCATCCTAGGCAAACATCTACATGTTTTTTTTTTCTTTCAAAAAATGCAACTTAAAACTTATTTGGCACCTTGGCGATTGTAGTTGGCGCGACAGATCAGGATACGGAAATTTCCCCATTTAAAAGATGTAACCAAATTAATACATGTTTGTGCAAATATGAAAATATCTCCATAATTGGGGGGGGGGACTGAATCGGAAAGAGTTTTTCTTTACCGAACAGTTTTTTATTGACTGATATTACCAGGATGGCGAAAGGTTTTTAACATATAAAAATTAAAAAAATTTAAGAGGCCATGAGTAAAATTTTTCAAGCTAGTTCCTTTCTGTTATGATTTTGTTGGTAGTACAAGTACACTAGCAAAAGTATCAGGTAGTCAAGAAAAGTTTTGTTTAAAAGTGAGTAAAGATTTTTTTTTTTTTTTAATTTTGCACAAACAAATCATCAGTCAATTAGTTATATTATTTAACAATTATTTAAAAATTACAAAAAAAAAACACATAAACTTATAATTTTATTAACAAGAAAATATTTAAACTATCAATTTCATATCCTGATACTCAGAATGTTGTTTAAGAACTGTTCAAACACTACACCTTAATTCACTTATTATAATAGAATATAAACAAATAGTAACCTGATTGTTAACTTTTTTTTTAAAAGTGGAAGTAAAAAAAAGTTCACTATTATCATCTTTATCCTTGTAAAAACTTATAGCTAAGATTAATTGAAGTATTAAAAAAGCCGCAAATATAACAATATAAAGCCGATATGTTCTGCAAAACAAAACTGAAAGCACTCGGTATGTAGCCATCGACCATTATGCAAAAATATGAAGTTTTAATAAAAGATTAATTGAAAAATAGGAAAAATTTCTAGACAGTAACCCCGAATTTAAGAATACAGATTCAGGCGAAGAGGAAAACACAAACAAAAACATAACATTTTAATAACAGATGGTCAGTTACAGTTATATAATTTTGATAGTAAAAAATATTTAAAACAAGTTAGTTGATTCAAAGTTATTTATAACCCATCCATCTTTTTTATAATTGATATTTCTTAACTTTTTAAATGATAATATTAAAAAATTAAAATTTTTCATTATTCCCCTTCGTAACTGTAACTGGCATGCAATTCTGTCATGGTGGAAAACTGAGCCAAGTTGTTTTGCTTTTCGTAAACACGGTTTGCTTCGGCACGTCCCGTATTAAATCTAAATTAATCCACAAATTTAGGAATTTTGTTTAATATATTTGATTTGCATTTTACACGTAAGTATTTTGTTTAGCCTTTTAACCTTTAATTTATGTCCATATTATTAACATTTGCTTGTATCCGTACAAATTTAAAAATAGGTACTTGATTTGATATTAATCTTGATTGGATTAAATGTATTAAAATTTTATGATTTCTCTATTAATGATTTTAATAATGATATCTCCGTTTTAATTGGCTTAATATTGTTTCAGATATAATACAAGATGGTTCGTATGAACGTATTGGCAGATACATTAAAGTCTATAAATAATGCAGAAAAGAGAGGCAAGCGTCAAGTCCTTATCAGACCTAACTCTAAAGTTATTGTTAAATTCCTTACAGTAATGATGAAGCATGGTAAGTTTATTGTGATCAAACCTATACATAAATTTTTAAACATATGTATTCAAGGATATTATTTAATAAGCCTCTTATCCACTATGATTCCTTAAAATGTTTGCCAACATTTGTATTAGTTATTATCTTACCTATATTTTGTACATTTAAAGCATCAGCTGTGGTTTTGCAATGTCTGAATAAAAAGTTTGAAATAATAAAAATATGCTGATCTTATAATATCCTTTCTAAAACCAGACTATAGTTCACTTCAGAATTGAGAGTAAAATAAGCTATGTAAGTTTGATAAGTATGTATTGCAAAGACATGATTACTTTTGTACAACTCAAGTACAACATTTGATATAAGATAATATATATAATAATTATATTGAAGTTAGTGTTCTCCATCAGTGTTTTGATCCCTCCCTTGATAACATAGTTTTTTTACTAATATTCCATTTTTAAAAATACAACATGCTGTTTGAATATCAACTTGAAATTATTATTTTTTTTTTCATAATCGCATGTGTATCTTTGCTTGGTGTTGACAAAGAGTGCTTAATTTCGATTTTCATTTCTTTTTAAGTGCATTATTTGGGGGGGGGGGATCGATTGTCTTCATAGATTACAAAAGGAGAAAAAAAAATGATTTTCAGGTTTTCTGTTATATTTATCAGAACAGTAACTAGTTATTTTATCTTGGTAATGTAATGTCTTATAAAATGTTTTTGCATTTTGTTGATTTCATGCTTATAAATGTTATTTCATGTTTTATTTTATTTTTTTACTGATTAAAAATATTTTTTTAGTGCTTACAATGTGCTTATTTTATTGTTACAAATTTTCTTGTTTTGATAAGGTGCGAGAGTTATTTAAAGATTGTTAAAGAATTTCTGTTATATAAAGTCCTGCCCTTTTTTTTATATCTTACGAGAACTCTGAAGTCGTATTCGTTTTAAAGCACCATAAAAGTTACTGTGTTCTCTGCACCTGTCACATATTAGTCTGTGGTTTATATGCAAATGTATTTTATGTATTTCATTTACAAACCAGATTGTAAATCAGATTTCAGAAGGAAAAATCTTTTATCCAAGTGCACTAATATTGCGAAGTTAATTAGATAATTCCAACAGAAGTGAAAATATCAGTAGGTGTTGCGAATTCATTTAGTTTTTTTAAAAAAATCTAATGTTTTGCTTTAGCCATTTTATTAACAAGATGGTATTTCATGAAACTAAACTTCTCTATTCTCTTTCTATCAATGTTTATTATTTCATTATTAAGTGGTTATTTTGCATGACTAATTTTTTTGCTGATGAACAAAAATCAGCTTAGTGAGATTTGAATACTGTTGTAATGCTGATTCGTGTGAGTTTGTTGCACAAGAAATAATTAAGAATATAATACCCCTTTGGCAGAATTTTTTCAGACTTTCGACATAACTATTTTCATTCAAGTCAAGAAACCCTAGCTGTAATTACCGAAAAACAAATTTGATTGTCGTAATAAATGTTGGGTTTTAAACTATGTGGAGGTCAAATACAGTAACTGCCAAAAAAATGATAGAAGCATTGCCTTGAAAAGTAAGTACTTGAATTTCCCGTATCGTCTGGAATAACAAGGATAATTAAAAGCCGTGTGGAAATCGCTAACTGCCGAAAATAAAATCAAACCACTCGATGGATTTACGATGTTATCGGCGTAATTTGAACGCTGCGGTAAGTTGTAATTTAAATGCGCACTTCAAATTTTACGCATATATATCTGCAGAAATGAAAACTGCAATTTTTTCTTCCCAAAAGAAAAATCTTTCTGCAAGAACTATGTAACGTTCTGCAACTGTGTCATCGCGATTCTACTACTGGGATAATGCCTAGCTTCCAATTGGTGTACTTTTCGCAAGATCATCATACTCTTTTTATGCAAGGTTCAGTATTTAACAATGACTAGATGGTTTCGCTCACCAACCCGTGTAATTCACATTCGTTATTGCAGACCTGCTAACTCCATTCATAATTTGCATACAGATCTGAAGTCCTTTTGATCCGTTTGATAAAGCAAGTATAACTAAGCATATACAAAGCAATCATACTGAATAGTAAATGATATTCAAGTACCAAATTTTTGTTGATAGTTTTTTTGGTTTTGTACAAGTTATGGTGGAAGATGATAGAGCTTAACACTTTATATGATATTCTAGAAATTCAGTTTTGTTCTTTTCAATGCAAAGACATTTCAGTATGTAAGTTTTTCATTCTTTCAATAGGATTAATACAAAGTAGCATAGCTGTCTACTCTACTTGATTTTTCAGTAGAATTCTAGATTCAGCCAGTTTCTCTGTATCTACTGGTTTTTATACCTTTTAGAGAATTGCCTGAAATGGAATTTTTGTGCATAATATTTCTTGCATGAATATTTAAATAAGTATTACTGATACATAAGGAAACAAACCTCATTTGTAGAGTTTTTATTTAGATATCTTTTTAAATTAATTAAAAAATTCTTTTAACTATCTTTGATGACCTATATGTCTATTGATATAAGAGATTATTAGTAAGAATAATACATAGCTGGAAAATATCACGGTTTTTCTATTTTTTTGACTAATCCCTAAAATTCCCTATGTGTAAAATAATTAATACATTATGCAATCACGAAATTTATATTATCTCGTAAAATCTACTGGATTTTTTTCCTATCTATGTTGTCAGCTATGAGAGTAGTAAAGGTCAAGATTGCTTGCCATTTTTTGCCCCTTTCTCTCTTGATTTAGCTGTCCTGTCTTTTGTTTCTGATGATTTCGCATAATCCTATTTCTGCATTGTTAGTGAGTTCTTGTTCTCATCTCATATTGGAGATTTGCGTATGACACACTTTTCTTATTACTGTCAGACTAAAAAGTGTGATTGAAATATCAAATCCAGTGTTTTAATTGTTAATATTTAAATGGTAACCAGATATTCAGTTGTTTGCTTGTGATAGTGTGTTTTCAAATTCATTGTGCATGTTTATTAGTAGTTTTATAAAAATAAAAATAAAATTATTTTTTCTGTAGGTTACATTGGGGAATTTGAAATAGTTGATGATCACAGAGCTGGAAAAATAGTTGTCAATCTAACTGGTAGATTAAACAAATGTGGTGTTATCAGTCCCCGGTTTGATGTACAGTTGAGAGATTTGGAAAAATGGACACGAAATCTTTTACCATCTAGGCAGTTTGGGTAAGTCAATTTTTAAATTAAATTTTGTTGTAAAACTGTGCCAGTCCATTTTGGTAGGAATTTATTCAAATTGCTGGAGCTCTTTTTACTGGCAACGATTTTACCAGTCTTGCACCCTATTTACTCGAGGATTAAATCCTAGAATAGCCCACCCCTTAGCGACTTTTGAAATCTCGCCAAGTGGTGATCATTACTTGGGTCAACGTTTTTTTTTTATTTTTAAAAACAATTTAATTTACTACAAATTTATGAAAATAGTTTAATATATTAAAATACAAAAAATAACTTACCTTTACTCTGATGGCTAATCTTTCGTCTTAGCGTAAGTTTATATATCAATTCACCAACCCAGTTTATGAATTTTGGAGCTGACTCCAAAAAGTTAAGGTAAAGGGTAGGATGAGTGGGTATTTCTGAACAGCCGTTGTGGTCGGACGTTCAAAATTTATGCTCTTTTTGGTTTCGGCGTATCTCCCCTAAGTATCTTCCAGGAACCTTGTCAAACTTATATCGTTTCTGTCTTTTCCTTTAGTTGTCATTTTAAATAACTGTATAAAGTTTCATGAACCTAAAGTTGATATTTATGGAGGAATGGGCATTATTATAAAGGAATTGATTTTTTGATATAACTTTAAAGATATTCAATAGATTCCATGATTCGATATTTTATAATTCTTATTTAATAGTATGAGGTGAAATTTGTATATTTCCCCTTATCGATTTGAGCTGGGTTTTAAAAAGTTCAAAAACTACTTAGGTTATTGAAAATTTATAAAATAATTTTATTGATTTATGAACTATTATAAGAATATTTATAAAATTATAGCAAAAGAACAACAGTAATGAGAACAACAGAAAATGTCCATTTCTTCATAAATATTTACTATGTGTTTAATTTGTTACCTAATAATCTTAACAATTTTTTCCCTTTGAGAACTTAAAGGAAATACCACATTTATTGCCTGCCGGGTGCAGGTGGTTATACTATATCATTGAAAAGTGATAATCTATAAAGTTAAATTTTCTTTTTTTTTGCAACCTTTTTGGTTTTTCAACTTTTGTGATGATTTTAACATACAATATGTTAATGTCATTAAAGAACATATTTTGTGCAAAAATAGTTTGTCGAGGATAATAATATGCCTCTAGCTATCACTTAATCAGTTTTATTGACACAAACTTTAGGAAAGTCTTGTCACGTGATCCATCATCAAGCGCGTTATTCTGAATTTTATTTTTAATTCTTGCCTAATCTTTTTTGTTGCTTAGATTTTCTGAACTTTTTGCAGTTCTTATTAGTTAGGCAATGTGTCTAATGTAAATAAGTATGAATGTGTTTGCATTTATATGTGTCTGTTGTCGGAGAATTATCTTCTGATGTAGTATACTCACAACATTCCTTTGTTTAATTCTGTAGTTCTTGATCTCTTTCCTTGATTCTAGTGAATTTTTAAAAAAATCATAAACTTATACTGTTCAAAAAACATAACTCTTTTTCCTGTTTAAATGCCTTTATATATAATCTGTTTATTTTATCAATTGTTAGAATAGTTGTGAAAACTATCATTGTTCTGATATTTGCTTTTCATTAGAGATAAGACTGTCGTAATTTTGGAGTCCTTGTAACTCCTTGAATTTCTTCTGATCTCTGTATGAACCCTGCTTATATCTTTTACTCAACAGCATTGTAATGTAGCTAGTGGTTGAGGTTTGAATTATAGTGAAAATAATATATGTACGATTTGTTTCTAGATCTGTCTTTTGGAAAGGCATTCTGTGTTTGATTTATTAGATTAGTTTCATGATATGGCTTCTGAGTTACCATTTAAGTTTTTTTTTTTTAAGTAAAGATTATTTATTTGCATCATTTATTCTGAAGGAATGTTTTTATTTTCATGTAACATTATACAGACCTGCCAACTTGTACGGTTTCGCCGTACAGTGTACGGTATTTTACTCGATCGTACGGTTGTACGGACAAGCGTTAAAATCGTACGGTTGCGTAATCATTTATAGTTCGTTTTTTTTTAAAAAAATAAAGAAAATAAAATTAACAGCATGCTTAAAGTCACAAATTCAAAGGTTTACAAGATTTTAAATACTAGTTAGGAAACTCATCACAAAAAAACGAAACCCTGACATGTTTTAATCTGGTTGGTATTGAGAGCCGATCGCGTGACGCTAAAACAATCGTTAGCCAATGAGAGTGAGTATGCGCCTCGTCGAAATTAGCCAGTGGGAACGCTGATGTAGGAGATCACATGGCCGGTAATCACAGACTAAATTAAGAGCGCTTTTTGGCAACGGTAATGTTTTTGTTTACAATTTGTTGCTCATGGATTGCAGCGTGATTTTGTTTTATTTGTAAAAATGCCACCTAAAGTTTACAATCAAACTTTTTTAGAATCTTATTCTAAAAGCTTTCCTTGTATAATTAAGTGTAACAAATCGCAGCACTATGCCTTTTGTAATGTTTGTGGACTAGATTTCAAAATAGCACATGGCGGTAAAAGCGATATTAATGATCATATACGCACAAAGAGACACAAGGATTTAGCGGAATGTGTTAATAAAAATGAAAACATCAGTAAGTATTTTGCGTCTGGAAGTGATGACGATGTAATACGGGCTGAAGTGTATTTTACGTCTTTCATTGTCGAGCACAATCTACCTATTAGTGTCGCAGATCATGCAGGTCCATTATTTAGGAAAATGTTCCCTAAAAGCGATGTTGCTAAGAAGTATGGTGCAGGACGAACAAAAACTGCTGCTATTATTTCAAAAATAGCTGATGTGAAGAAAGCTTCAATTGTTGAATCTCTTCAAAAGCAAATGTTTGCTGTTGCTACTGATGGTAGCAACGATACAGATGCGCAACTTTATCCCATCGTTGTATCTTACTTCGACGCAAATGCCGGTGAAGTCAAGGTATCGTTGCTTGCCGTGCCGACTTTAGATTTAAGCTCTACAGGACAGAACATAGGTAATTTGGTGTTAAAAACTTTGAAATTAAAAAATATTCCTTTGGAAAATTGTTTAGCACTTAGCTGTGATAATGCTCCAGTGATGGTTGGCTCAAAGAATGGTGTTGCCGCTGTGATTAAGACAGCAAATCCAGAAATTTTTGTTGTTGGCTGTCCTTGCCATTTAGTACACATTGCTGCTGAAAGAGGAGCTGCTGCTTTACCTATATCAGTTAGTGATGTTTTGGTTGATATTTTTTTTTACTTAGAGAAGAGTTCTAAAAAGAAACTTGAACTTAAAGCTTTGCAAATTTTACATGACGTTGATACACATAAAATTTTGAAACATACTTGCACAAGATGGCTCTCTTTGGGTAGATGCTTAATGAGACTTCTGGAACAATGGGATCCTCTGTGTAGCTTTTACAAGGATCAAATAAATCGAAAGAGCAAATGCCATAGTCTTAATGACTATTCCATACCATTAAAAATATCTGCAAATGACAACAAAGTGGAGAATGCACATATTAAAAAGAAAAGGCCTTTAGAAATAGAAAAATCTGTGAAGAAATTGAAGGTAGGTAATTTCTCTAATAGTTCATTAAAAACTTCTGAACAAAAATCAGAAATGGGAAATCCTGCAAAGAAATTAAAAGCTGGTAATTGTTCTAAAAATTCTTCACCGAAATCTTCTAAACAGGAATCTGTTTTGACTAGGGAAGAACAAATGCTTCTATTTCTTTCATCAGATATCTGTAAAGCTTATTGTTTGTTTCTAAATTATATCATCCCAGTTTTTGAAAGAAGCTTAATTACCTTACAATCTAATGAGCCAAAAATTCATATTTTGAATTCTTTATTATTAGATTTATTAAAAGATTTTGTCTCAAAATTTATAAGAGCAGACATTATTAAAGGTTCTTCCCTGATGGACATTAACTTAGTGTCAGAGAAGAATCATAAATTGGATGATGATATTATAATTGGTAGTGCTGCTTCCAAGTTAATATCAGTCTTAAAAATGGAAGATAAGCAACTCTTCTATAGTAATATAAAAAATTATTATATTGCTGTCTGCAACTATATACGGCAGAAATTTCCCTTGAATAGTGAGTTTTTATTATCCGCTGAAGTTGCAGATGTTGATAAATTACCTTCAAAAAGATTCAAGGATGTTGATTTCTTCTTGAAAAAATTTCCATCGATGTGGATTAATGACAATGTTGAAGAAACTGAAGATATGAAAAGAGATAAACTTTTAGAGGAATTTAGTGATTTGCAGATTACTGATTTACCTTCTGTGATTAAACAGGAAACAAGGATGGACAAAAAATGGGATGCAATTTCTAAAATAACATCCAATGATGGATGTTTCAAGAAGTACAGTAGAATAGCAAAAATCATGGTAGCTATATTAAGCATACCTCACAGTAATGCAGAATGTGAAAGGGTATTTAGCATAGTAAAAAAAAATAGAACACAGTTCAGAAATTCTTTGTCTGATAAATCTCTAGAGGACATTCTGATTGCCAAAACCACGCAAACTGGATGTTGTTATGAGCAGACCTTCGATAAAGGATTCTTAAAAGCAGCTAAGTCTGCTACATATGAACTTTTTAAAGCAATAATTGTTTTTAATTAAGTCTATTTAATTTTTTTCCTTTTTGTATTAATCTAGAAATTTAATTTTTAAATTGTGATTAAGTGTAAATATGTGTTTAAACAATTGTATAATAAAATACTCAAGATTTAAAAAATGTTTTTATTGTTTTCACAATGAATTTTTAAAAGAAAATAATTTATTCAAAATTGACAAGTGTATTTAGTAACAGATCTTAATTTTGTGTAAAAAGGTCCTATAATAACACTTTCTGTATAACACTATGTCGAGTAAAACACTAACTCAGAATTGTAAGGTCGTGCAGATTACAATGTTGGCAGGTCTGATTATATTTAGTTTTACTTCAACTATTGTGTGCAACTGGCATAATCATAAATACAGACCAGATGGTCATTATAACCTTCATTAATAAAGTTAAAGTGTTTTGTATTTATATGAGGATACACCATAGTATCTACTTTTGACTCTTAAGGGCGATCATTTCATCTATTTTGCTGCTTTGTTTCTGAGATGATTTTCTATACTTCATTAGGAAGTTTAGATGGCTGTTAGATTATTTCTAAGGTGCAAGTACATACTTGATGATGAAACTAGGAGTTACCGTTTGAATCATAATGAAAATAATGTATTTTGCGGCTTTGTTTCTGAAAGAGTACTATTTAGGAATGTCATATATACTGTTATATTTACACTTTCATGTGTAAATATAACCCAAATACACCCAATCCATTCTCTAAATAGTCATTTTTTTTCTTGTGCCCTGTTACAAGCTCACCAGTGTATCATGAAGAGATGTCAGGGTTCTCCTGTCATTCACTGTGAGTGGGTCAATAGGAAGAGTTGTGATAATTGGGGAAATAAAGGCTCTGATTAATTTTAAAATAGATACCATGACTGAAATTCTGTGTAGTATTTCAGCAATTTAGTTGTTTGTCAATTGAATTGTTATAATTATTTGTGATGATGACAATAAATCCATTCTCTGATTCTATTCTTCTATCTAACACCCTGTTATACACTGTAACAGCCCATTAGTGTTTGACAGAGGAGTTTCAGGGTTCTCCTGTTATTTTCTTTGTCCAGCACCTTGGGTGGGTGAATAAATTAGTTGAAGAACAGATATGAATGAATGTAAGGCTCTGATTATGTTTAGGAAATAGCCAAATAGAAGTTTTGAGTATTATAGTATTCATTACATTTTGTTCTATTAATTAGCATGAGTTTCATCAAAGTTTGTAGGTTACTATGAAACTAAATTGGTTCTCTGCATCTCTATTAGCTAAGTTTAAAATAAGTATGGATGTTTCATATTATGTATATTTTGAGTATGTTAATTGTTAAAACTTTTTAAAAAAGAGCTATAGTAAAGTAAAGCCCTTAGTTCTTGCTCTGAAAAAACAATTTATGCTTTTTTCTTTTTTTAATAAAAAAAAATTCCTTGTATAGTCATAAATTATGGTATTCATTATGTGTGATTTTTATAGTGAGAGCAATATATTTCTGCATATATGCTGATTGAAAATAAATGGTGCAAACTTTCTTTTTTTAGATACCTAGTTTTAACGACATCTGGTGGTATTATGGACCATGAAGAAGCTAGAAGAAAACATCTTGGAGGGAAAATTCTAGGATTTTTCTTTTGAATGTGTATTATAAAAAAATAAATATTAAAAAAAAGCTTACCTCTTCTTTTTTTTTTTAAATTTGTCTTTGATTATATTTATTTTTAAAAAAATAGTCATCTTTTGCACCATGCAAAAATAATCTGCTTGTTCTGCAAATCACTGTACTAAATTTATACAGCTACATAATGACAAAAAAAAATTGTGTATCCCATTTGTCTTTAAAAGGTTAGGCTTTCATTATCTATGGAATGGTGAATCCTTTTATGCATTTATTTCTGGTCGATTTGTTGTTAATTTGCAGTTGGGTGTGGTAAAAATTTTGATCTAAGGTTTTAAAAAAAATTCATAGATCTTTCTGGCTTAAATGTATGATGAAAGTGCAGCATTGTTTAATAATTTGAATAACTATTGCATATTTAAACAGTAAGCTTTTTTTTATTTAGGATTTGTGAATATAATAGTCAGTAGATAAAAAAAATTTAAGGTCAGTTGGGTTAATACACATTAGAGAAGCATATATATATGTGATACTTAGTATTTAAAATTATCATATATTTTTAAGTAAGTTAATGCATCATGATATTAAATTCTATCAGTATTACTTTTTCAAAATATCAAATGTTATAAAATATCTAGTTTCTTTTAAAGAGAGATAATTTAATCTTATATTTATGTATTTAGCACTAGATTGCAGCACCATTTAAGAAAGCTTGTTGCTAGATCCATAGTAAGATTTTTTTTTTTTTAAATTAAGTATCTCTGCTCACAAAATATAAAAAGTAATAAGCAAGAATGAAATTAATGAATTGCATTCGTATGAACATTAAACATATATTAACCAGCCAAAAAAAAAAGTTATTGTATTGTTAAGTGTTGAAACGTATAGTATTAAGTAATTCTTCACAGCAAAATCCATTTTTAACTTTTCATGTTAAACTTTGGCAGATAAGTTCATTTTTTATTAACAAGCAAAATTGCATTAAAAGATTTCCAACTGTCATTGTAATTGTTAATTTTCGTTGTAATGCGATAGTCATGAACAATTATTTTTGTCCGCTAACAATGGGATCACTCTTTTTGGGCTAAATGAACAGGTTTCTCTTTGGTAGCAGCATGCAAAAAACTAAACCTTCTACCTTGCATGAATTGTAGTTATAAGGTCATCTGTTTTTTGGTAATCTGTTGTGATATACCCGTGATTACAGATAAGTTGTAAAAAGTAATTTTAGAATATATCCTGCAGTTTAAACACGTGAAAATTTAGTTGAGTGACTCTAAAAAGTTCTTTTATCATTCGTTGCATAAAAACAGATTTATTATAAATCTCAAATTGTAATTTGATGGTACATGCATCAACAAATAAAGTAATTATTCACCATCAATTTAGTTTTGAAAATTAGAAGATTATTTCAGTTCCCCTTCCAGTTATGTTGGCATAATGATTCACCTCACTTACTTAAAGTATCAGATAACTTATCAATCACATAGGCCCCTAATGGAAATGCGCATAAGAAAAAGCAATTAGAAAGAGAAATTATTGACTAACAAGTACACACAGTAGGTCTTGATTCAATAAATAAATCAAGTGCTGACCCCTTTTTGAAAAATAAAAGGAACAAAAAAAAATTTTAAATGTTACTTATTTTATCTTTTTCTAAGTTTTCAAATTAGTTTCATTCTTTGATTAGATTTGAAGTATTAAGAGTTGTTTATTGCTATCACATTCAATTCCTCGAATCTTTTTTTACCAGCCCTTTCAGATAATGAATCTAAAATTTAAGATAATTTGAATTTTATAGATTTTGTTTTGCCTAAAATCACATTTTTAGCTAAAGATTATCTCAAACATATAGCACATTTTTCTTTAAATTTTAGAAAAATGATTTCTTAGTTTATTCCAGAGGTTTGCTCAGGTAAGATGATTTATAATTAAATGCTATCGAAATGCAAGTAAAATTTTTAGTCATTTGATGAAAAACCCATATTTCTATTAATAATTGATTACAAATGAGAGTATATATCCTCTATTTAATTATCAGAAACAGGATCTTCCTCCATTTAGGAGTGACGACACCACCTATCTATCAATAAAGGATCTTTGCAATAGATGTTAATCCATATTAAGTCTAAATGAGTACTCAAGACCTGCCAACTCTCCTGCTGTTAGGAGTCTACTGCTTTTGCCTCAAATCTTCGTCCTCCTGACGTCAGGATGTTTTTTTCTATTTAGTGCACGATAGAGGAAGGGAAGAAAAAAAAGCGATCTTCCGCACTTAGGATACAATCCCTCTTTTTCCTTTGCCTATTGATTCAAATTTAGTGATTGGTACCAAAACTAAAGAAATTGTTAATACTTTATGCAGTGGTGACCAACAGATTTTTTATTCTGCTGTCAGAAATTATTTTGTTAAATGTTGCAATTATATTTTTCAAAAATGAAATTTTAACTAATGCTGAAGTAGTTAATTTAGAAAATATTTCCAATGCTTCTTTTTCTAGTATTAAGTTTTTCATTGATAATTTTCCTGTGTTGGTCAAGGTGTTAGGTCAAAATGATACTCATTCATATCTTGATACTCTGGAATCACAATTCTGTGCTCTTCAATGTGATGCAAATTCTCAAATGTCATTATCTACTGGTAGGGTAGGATAGACATGAAGTGATCAAAAGTAGGTTCTCTAAAGGGAAATGCTTATTCTGTGTAAGCTAAGTTTAGGCATGCTGTGTTTAACTATTCCACACAGCAATGCAACATGTGAAAGAATATTTAGCCGTGTTACCAAGATACAAACTCGGTTTTGATCTTCATTAACGACGCAAAACTTCAGAAACTTAATGACAATTAAGGAAAATCAAAAAGAGTTATGCTTCCAAAGAGATTTTGATAATAGTTTTTTAAATAATGCTAAATCAGCAACTTTAAAACAGTAGCAGTTAAAAAAATAAAAAAAAGAATTGTATTCATTATTGATATATTTTGTTAATTTTGAACCTCTTCCTAAATTTTAAAAAATCAAAAGATGTGTTTTGATATAATTCTAAGGAACCTTTTATTTTATAGTAAGAACACATATCCTTATTAGTCAGAATCTTATTGTGATCTATTTTATGTAATGTAAATAATATATTTTGAAATAAACTTCTTGTAAGAAATGTGAATCAGGTTTAATTTTCAATATTGCGCTATGTCNTCTTTTTTTTTTTTAAGGTTGGCAGGTCTGGTACTCATTTTCAATGATAGTTTAGCACAATTTCAATATGAAGTACAAATACATTTTGTTCAGATATATTCAACTATTAAGTTATGAAATAAAAGTGCAGCTTCAAATAAAATAAAAACCTATGAACTCTATCTCCAATTCAGTACCCCCAGAGGCATTGATTTGTTGAGAGGACTGTGACCCCCGACAGATTTAATGTGTACCAGGCACCGTTTAATCCACACGGTATCCTCTGTCAGTGGGATTCAAACTCTCGAACATGAACGCAGCAGCCAAACATAGGATTTAATGTAAAATTTTTTATCCTTCATATTCTTTTAATAGCAATAATTTAGTTGCAAAACATTGCATTTTATTTTAGTTAAACATTCAGTGACAAAAATATTTTCTTGGAAAAAAATTGCGCCAACAAATCAGATTTTTGTTTTCCTTCCATTTTTTGTATAAATTTAAATGAATTATAAAAAAGTACCCTTAGAATAAACACATATCCGAATATATGAACAATTATTAAGAGCGTGTTAATTTTTGTGTTACTATTTTATGAGAGCAATTTTAATAATTGAGTTAATTCATTCTTTACAAAAAGAACAATTGCATAAAGTTACTTTAAATATTAGTCTTAAACAATTTATATTAAATTAAGATATAAGTATTAAAAAGTTAAAGCTTAATGATATACTGGCAATATATATTTATTCATATATATATTTAAATTAATTTGATTAAAGGAATGGACCAACATAAAATAAGTAATGTATGAAATATATAAGTTTAAAGGAATTTGCCAAAATTTTCTGATGATACTATTTTATAGATAATATTCAGCTGGAAAGTTATTTATTTATTTTTTTTTTCAAATGAAGAAATAAACTGCAAGCCTTTGATTGCCCTGTTAAACAAAAATAAGAACTATATCACTATTTTGACCAAAGTGACTTTGTCTTGTTTCTGCTTCGCTCTTAGGAGAAAATCACATTAAGTTATAATAAAGAAAAGGTCTATATAGGCTAATTTTCTTCAAAATATTTTATTTATTCTCTTCAGAATGAACAACAAAATGTTTCTTTAAATTACATTTGTGTCTGAACGTTTTATCACACACCTTACATGAATAAGGTTTTTCTCCAGTATGAACTAGACAGTGTTGAGCTAAGTTGGTTTTAGTCATGAAAGATTTATTGCACACATTGCATGAAAAGGATTTTTCTCCATAATGAACAAGATAGTGACGATTCAAGCTATTTCTTTTTGAAAATGTTTCCGCACACACAGAACATGAATAAAGTTTTTCTCCAGTATGAGAAAGATAATGCTGAATTAAATGAGTTTTTAATTTGAATGATTTGTCACACATACTACATGCAAAAGATTTTTCGCCATAATGAACAAGATAGTGACGATTTAAATTATTTCGCTTTGCAAAAGTTTTATCACATACATTGCATGAAAAGGGTTTTTCTCCAGTATGAACAAGATGGTGCTGAATTAAAGTAGTTTTAGCCTTGAAAGATTTGTCACACACGTTACAAGAAAAAGATTTCTCCCAATTATGAACAAGAGAGTGACGATTTAAACTATTTTTCTTTGAGAATGTTTTGTCACACACACAACATGAGTAAGATTTCTCTCCATTATGAGCAATAGAATGTTTATTAAAATTATCTTTCTCAGTGAATATTTTTTTACATACATTACAAGAAAATAGTTTCTCATCATTGTGAATGGCTAAATGTCTAATTAAATTACCTCTCTGCGCGAATTTTTTATCACACATATTGCATGAGAATGGCTTCTCTCCGGAATGAATAAGATTGTGTGCATTTAATGCAGCT